TGCCATGAGGCGGGCCAGTTCGGGTCATTGCCTTGTGTGGCTCGGGGCCTAAGGGAGAGTTCGGGCTCCTCGTAGGGAGTTCGGGCTCTTAGTAGGGAGATCGGGCTCCTCATAGGGCGTTCAGGCTCCTAGTAGGGAGTTTGGGCTCCTCGTAGGGAGTTCGGGCTCCTTGTAGGGAGTTCGGACTGCTGGTTTCCTCCCTTTGGTGCTCGTGCTCTAGGTGCGCTGTTGTACTGAGCTATTTGCCTTTGCCACGTGTTGAGTGATTACAAGGTCGGGCCAAATCTTCTTTAATCAGAATCCAGAGTATAACAAATTTTCAATTTTAGAACTTGGACACTAACAATCAATTGATAGCCTGATAGGAACAAATTTGTACTTATAACTTGTCCATGTCCATCTATGTGTAATATGACTTTATTCCTTTGTCAATTTGTGCAATCATCTGCCGTGTTTGGCTCCGGATAAAGAGGTTTAAAATAACTTTGGCCCCCATACATGTTTGAGAAAGTCTTAAATTTCTCATAACAACATGAGTTACATCATGGTATATGATAATGGTTTTCCTTGGCGAAACTAAACTCAAGGAGGTCTTCATTTGTTTTCATTGCAATTGGAGTAAATGCATAAGCTCAGTTTGGAAGGAGTACAAATGCAAATATGTAGATATACAAGGTTTTGCCCTCTACATATTTGTATTTGTACTCCTTCCAAACTGAGCCATAAGTGCAAATGAGATATGGAGAGTAAAATGATTGATTGCAATAACTTTATGTGAATTGGAAAATGGAAGGTAGTTTCATTCATCAATTCATCTTTGGTTGATGAATGAAATTTGGTTTATGCTTTCAAAATAAATAAATAAATAAAACAATGGAGGCAAGAGGAAGGCCAGACAGCACTATGGTGAAAGGAATGTTATGCATATTTTGTATCAATTAATAATGCAAAATATAGTTGCAAACAAATGGATGCAATACTGATTGCATTGCGAACAAACAGAGCCTTGGGGATAAAAAGTGGTTAATAGATCATTGAAAAAACTTGGCTGTCTACATCTTACAACCTATGCTGTCCACAGGACTCTCCCTGTTAGGGTGTCCAACTTAGGTTGGCCCAAATTAGTATAAATTTTGACAAAAGCCTAACCTTAACCTGTCCAAATTGCACCCTTACTCCTTGTGGAGACGGGGCTGTATGAACTAACGTGTGGTGTGGAGGTATGGACCATGGAGAGAGAGCCTATGGACAGCAAAGTTTTCACATAGATCATACTAGAGAATCGAGAATCGGGATTTGATCCTCATAGAGTGCACCTCACACTGATATTGGAGTGAGGAGCACTCCGAATAACTTATCTAGACTCCATATTAGAATAGCCCCAAGTGATGCATAGTAGGGTAATGGTTCGGTTAACCAAATCATGGACCTTTTTTTTTAAACTGAACCAGAAAAACTGATAATCGAAGCCGACCAGTTAATCAATTGACGGTTTGGTTTATCGGTTTTTGTTTTATTTTATTTTTATAATATTTATATATAATAAATAATATAAAAAATTAGAAATACATATAAGTAATATATTATATATTATAAATATATAATATAATGCATATATATATATTCATTTACAATATATTAATAATATAAAATATATATAATAATATAATATAAATATATGCATACCAGTTGGTTTAATTAAAAACGTAAAGTTCGAAGGAAGCAACAAAGCAAAAGAGGTTTTGTTGACATTCACAACTGCATTTTAGAATATAATAATAGGTATGATAAATGATAGAAAGGGATAAAATATCTTGTTTTTTACAAACCAAACACATCTTTGTATTACAATACCTGGAGGAGATTTCTTTTGTTTTTCTTTAGGTTGGAAGTTGGAACTAGAAATCACTTTCACGGAATTCTTTGGTCCCAGTTCAATAGCTTAGACCTGGAAGAACGGCAACCAAGGGTGAAGGTTGTAGTATATGTCAATACATACACAATACACGAACGATGGAATGTAGAGTCAAGAACAAAGAAACAAGAAAAATCAAATCAAATAATTAAAAAGTAAAGAAGAGGACCCAACTAAGCAACGTCTGCTTAGCCACGGTGATTTCCAAGCTTGGCCGTCTTAGCCTCGTAAAGAAAGGCAATCTGTCTCAATCCCTTACAAATTTTCCAACAACAAATCTTTGAAAACATTTCAGAAGAAAACCAAACTTCTTAGACTCTAGTACCCTTCCTTTACTTTTCTTTCTTCTTCTATTTCACAATCGATTCTCAGCGGCCACCTCTGTTTACAGTCGAATTAGCCTTGGTTAAATATCTTGCCGGAAAAATAGGAATTCCGATCGATCCATGCCTTGATACCTTCCTGTCATCGTTCTCACCATCCTTTGTAGGCTATATAAATCCGAAGTATATAGTTTCAGCTCAAGTTTGTTTGTTTCGAGCAAACCATCGATGGATACCAAGTCGGAGAAGGTCTATGTTGCCGTCGGGAACGATTTGCAGGAAGGGATAGGGACTTTGGAGTGGGCACTGAGAAAATGGTCTGGGCAAACGATTTCCATAGTTATCATCCATTTCAACAATAATAACAAGGATTTTGTTTACACCCCATGTAAGTTATACTATATTTCCCATTGAATATCTGTTCTAGACTACAGTTTTCCCTCCCTTTTGACTGGAACTCAGATGGGCTTTATTAATTTTGTCTCAGTTGGAAAGCTTCCTGCAAGCTCTGTAAATGATGAGAAGTTGCGGATATTTAGGATGTATGAACAGGAGAAGACCGACAAGCTGCTGTCGAAGTACATAGATTTCTGTGCCAAGGTTTGGTTGATTTGCTTCTCTGAATGCTCTTTAAAAGTTTCTATGCTGAAAATCTGCATTCTGTAGAAGAGCAGTACTGCAAAAGTGGTTTGAATTAAAAATTACTTTGCTCTGCTAACCCCCTGCTATTCGACCCACTTGTACAAAACTCATCAGTGACATTTAAATATCTTCTCAATATCAAATTATTTTTCTGTGTTAACTTCTTCAGAAATTATATTATTTGAATTTAGAAGGAAGATTTAAATCAGTTTTAGAATGAGGGGTTTTGAGCCAGAATGTGATGAAAACAGAACAGTCTTATCATAGCTGCAATAAAATGCCTTCTTTCAATCACAATGTGTAACCATACCCTATGAATTGAGCATCTGGGCCCACCATTAAATAAGTCTCACCTAAAAGACCACTTAAAAATCAGAAGGATCAGACAAGCTCCAGCCATGAGTGTCTAAGTATTTTTTAGAGTGGGACCTATCTGATGGTGGTCTCTGGTCTTCTAACTTCAGAAATTATATTATTTGAATTTAGAAGGAAGATTTAAATCAGTTTTAGAATGAGGGGTTTTGAGCCAGAATATGATGAAAACAGAACAGCCTTATCATAGCTGCAATGAAATGCCTTTCTTTCAATCACAATGTGTAACCATGTGCCCTATGAATTGAGCATCTGGACCCACCATTAAATAAGCCTCACCTAAAAGACCACTTATCTAAAAAATCAGAAGGATCAGACAAGTTCCAGCCATGAGTGTCTAAGTATTTTTTAGAGTGGGACCTATCTGATGGTGGTCTCTGGTCTTCTAAGTTGAGACCTGGCAGTTTTTGAGGCACCACTCATTCTTGTTATGATGTCTTTATTTTTAAGAATTTTAAATTTATATCTCTAAGAAACACCTTTTAAATTTTGGTTGATTTATAATTAAATCATATTCAGTTTTACTCATTCATTCATAGGTGAGAACTGGAGTTCTAAAAGTAGAAAAAACTGAAGAACCCATTTACAAGGTTATTGTTGGACTGATATCAAGGCTTCGGGTGACCAAATTTGTCATGGGCATTACACTCATGAAATCCCAGTGTTGGTAATTGTTTCTGTTTATGTCATCATCTTCTTATCAAGTTCAGTTTCTTAACCCTGCTTTTTGAGTTTTTCATTTTAATATATGCATATGGTATATTAAAATGAGTTCCTACTTTTCTTTCTAAGGAAAACAAAGAGTGCAATCAGTGCAGCGTTTTATGTACATAAGAACAAGCCTAATTTTTGTGAGTCATTCATAATATGTGGAGGGGAATTGATTTTTCTTGGAGAAGGGAATGAAGAGGGGTTTGTGGAGGATGACCAGGGACTCATGGTTGCTAAGTTGAGGAACAAAGGTAGTTTCAAAGGTTGGCTAGGTAGAGTGTTCACAGATAGCACAGCTATTCATCAGTCTTGTGTGAGAGATGATTCCCATTGCACCTCGGCTGCCGCTTCGATGGGCATCGAATTATCGCTCAATTCTCATGATAGGTGGGAAAATTATGCTGAAGAAGTAGAAAATTACCTTCAGTGGTTGTCAATTTCAGAAGTAGGTGAAGAATTTCATGAAGAAGAAAATGGTCCTGCTGCTTCCCAACTTAGTCTTGAGAAAGAGCTGGAGAAGTTTCAACAAGCTAGTACAAAAATGGTAACCTCTGAACCATTTCTGTTCTTTGTGGTTGCAGATTAAACATGTAGCTTTCTTGGTATTAGAAATCATTTGAATTAATTGTCTATTATATAAAGAATCCAGCATTGGTTCTTCAATGTAGCTTTCTTGATTGGGTCCTCTGTCCTCATTTTTTGATTTTTGAAACCAGTGAGATAACGACAGACATAGAATGATAAGATGGGTTGCCACTTAATTACCAACCACACTACCTTTATTTTACACCAAAAGTTGAAAACAAAGAACAAAATCTCTCTAATCAAGCTACACATTATTATGTAAAGTTGATCATAGATGGGGTTGTTTGGATGCAAGGTTATAACCCGACAGACTTCCAGGGCTGGTCCCTCTCTCTTCCATTTCCCATGAGCAAACAAACAAGAGCAGTAGAGTACTAAAGCAAGCCGGTTTAAATTTACAGTTTACTGTCTCATTATTGCCCAAACACCCTGTTTTTGGGTCTATTGTCTCACTATCTTTGACTTACATGACCATGGATTCTGCTTGAAATTTCTCTCTTTTTTTTGGTGCAATCTCAGAATGCTTCGGATAGAATTGGTGCCATGAGAGCTAAAACAGAGGAAGCCCGTAAGATGACAGAGGAGAAAAGAAAAGAAGTCAAAATCCACGTTGAGAGACAGAGACGGGCTGAACGGATCATTTCTCTCTGCAATCGTAGGGTATTTCTTTGTTTCCTACACACCGAATTCGTAAAACCCAACAGGGTCTCGTGCAGACCTTGATGAGAATCATGAGATTAACCAGATCACGAAGTTTGATACAATTAATTCATCTACTGTAGGTTGAAGAACTAGATGCTCGTATAAATGAAGAGAGCACCACTCAGAATGATCTAAAGAAAGATTTGGAGGCAGCAAGGGAATACATCTATGAAGTCTCGAGTGACATCGAAGAGACCAAGAGCAAGCTCAGCTCAATAATGGAGCTCCAAGCAGAGCTCACCCGTAAGCTGCACTCGTCCTCCTTGGCAAAATTCCATGCTGAAAGCCAACTACAGAATGCGATGGCGGCAAGAACTGAGATGCTCCTAGAGATCGACGAGTTGCGCCGTGAGCGGGACTTGTTGCGCCGGAGAGTCGAGTTCTGTAGAGAAAAGGAAGCAATAGCAGCGGCGACGGCATCATCGAATAGCTTGAACTACGCTTACAGAGAGTTCACGGCCGACGAGATCAGAGTGGCAACCGATGATTTCTCCGAACGAATGAGGTTGAAATCGGGAGGCGTTGGGACGAACGTCTACAGAGGAAGGCTCAACCATACAACAGTTGCCATCAAACTGCAGGATTCTCTCTGTCGACAGTCTCAAGAAGAGTTCCGAACTAAGGTAACAGGTCGGGCCAATGCATTTTACTGGTATTAACTTGTAACGATCATAACTGGTCAATTGCATCAATTTAACTCCATGCAGATGGAGCTACTGTGCAAAATCCGGCACCCCCATCTGATTAGCATGATCGGAGCCTGCACCGAGCGGAGATGCATCATCTTGGAATACATGCACAACGGTAGCTTACAGGACATTCTCTTCTTTTCCTCCAACTCCAAGTCCAATCGTAGCAGAAACAGGACTCTCCCTTGGCACGCTCGCATCCGCATCGCGGCCGAGATCTGTTCAGGCCTGAGCTTCCTTCACATGGCGGAGCCAAGGTCCATCGTCCACGGTGACCTGAACCCATCCAAGGTCCTCCTGGATCGCCACCTCGTAGCCAAACTCGCTGGGTTCCGACTGGGTCGATCATCCGAGGAGTCAGAGAAACGGTCCGATGCACATGCGTTTGGAATCATAATGCTGCAACTTCTGACGGGGAGACAAGGTGCTGGGTTGGTTGAGGAGGTGACGAGAGCGATGAAATGCGGGGCCTTGATTGGGGTTTTGGATGAGACGACGGCGAGAGAATGGCCGCTGGAGTTGGCAGAGGAGTTTGCTGGGATAGCGTTGAGGTGCGTGGACGTCGGTGGGAAGCAGAGGATGGAGACGAGGAGGGCTACAGTAATGAGAGAACTTGAGGAACTGAAGAGAAAGGCAAGCGATGTCAAGGGGTGGAGAGGAAGCCAGACGACGGAAGGAGGCCTGGACCAGGAGGACGATCGCGATGTGCCTAGTGTTTTCCTCTGCCCAATTTTGCAGGTTGGTAATGGTATATAACTATATACATACTCTGTCTGTCTGTCTGATTCTGATACTCTCAGAGTCTCAGTTGCTGTAATTCTAATGTTCTGGGTGCAGGAAGTGATGAAAAACCCACATGTAGCAGCAGATGGTTTCTCGTACGAGTGGGAAGCCATAGAAGAGTGGCTGAGAACAGGGCACGAGACATCACCCATGACCAACCTAAGGCTCAACCACAAGCTCCTCACCCCAAACCACACCCTTCGTTCACTCATTCATGACTGGCTCAATTAAACCTGATTCCCTCCGATTATCAAAACAGTGTTGGAGGCCTTCTTGTTCCTTCTGTAAAACAGAGCTTCACAGTCCAATTTAGGGGGTTGCTTTCTTGCTTTCTTTTAACCCCTCTACCACTTTTCCACACTATTTGTCGCAATCACATTCCAATTCCAAGATTTCTGAGTTTTCCTCAACTGATTTCAACAACTGAAATACAAAGCTCCTGTTTCTCAGTGTATAACTGCAAACGGGCTGATGATCTGTTCCATAGCAAAGTGAGACTATGGGTTTAATTAAATTCTTTAACCAGGCATAGCCCATCACTGAGTTGAAGCAGAATCATCATTTCTACTTCACAAAGAACTGATTTGGGCCTATCCCACCAGACCTGCCAGATCCATTTCTAATTAGGAATTTCTTTTAGAGAGCACTAGCTAGAGCAGAGAGGCGATCATTTCTATTTCTAACCCGGCCCAGTCCCGTCTAAAATCTAACTATTTCTGGGCTTGGGCCCGGGTATTATATTCAGGCCCAACTTGTATCAGGCTCTGAAATTTGTAGGCTGAGCGTGGGCCATTTAGGCCCATCCCATGATCACCCCTTAGAGGTGAGCTGGAGAAGTTTTAAGGTGGGATACGATTTCCAGGCCTAGTGGAAATTACATCCCTTGTTTATCTTTATCTTCTTTTAGAATACTAGTAAGCGTGCACTTGTTTTACACATGACAATTCTAGATGATGATAATGATAGTAATAATATATCTATAAATTTTTATAAATATATATTTTTTATTTTGTTTTTTATTATTAATCGGATGCAAATTGCAATATCAAAATATAATTACATAAACACCTTATCCAAATATGTGATAATTGGATCGAGTTATGAAGTTCCAAGTATCATTGATAGGCCTATCTGCTTCATTAGATTTTTCTTTTTGTAATGTTTTATTTTTTTTGTGTATCTTATTTTGTTCATTTATCAAAAAAATGTAAGATTTAAATAAAAGATAATGATGGGAACAATAGTAGTTCAATTTACAATTTAAACGTTACAATTAAATAGGGACTAAATCCAAAAATGAGTAGAAATAATTTTGACATTCAATTTTTATATATTTTTCTATATTTTTGTATGTAGAAATAATTTTGATGTCACACTTACTTTTTGTTTAATATGATAATTATATGATATTGTACATGTGTCTTAATCTTTTTTCTTTTTGCAAAATTTATTTTTTTTCATTTATGTATTTTATATTTTATTAATTTTTATTATTTATTTATGACATTAAATGTTAACACATTTGACCCAAAAGTTGAATTATCGATGTTTACCAGACAGTAAATTATTTTATTTTTTGGTCAATTATAAATTATGTATTTCATTTCGTTATCAATAAAAATAATTATTGTTTATTACACTTATTGTTTTAATTTGATTAATAAAAATATGATAAATGTGTCTACTGTTTTCTACATTTTTGTAATTTTCTATATTTATTCCTATTTTAAAAGTTTTATTACCTAACTATGACTTCATAGGTTGATCAATTTGATTCGGATGGTTGAATTTCTTAGCCACCACTTGGACAAAGAATGGTTTTATTTTTGAGTCAGTGTTAAAATATATGTGTTTATGTTGTTAAAAATATTGATAAACATCTAATTAGTAGTATTTATTAGTAAAAAAATAACTTAAAATATAGGATTTAATAAGAGAAAATAGAAGTTAATAATTTAAATATAAGACTTAATGAGAGATGATTAAATGAGGTGAGAAGTAATAATTGAAGTTACATTTTCAACCCTTGCCATTAATACGGACTAAATACACAATTATGGGCATTTTAGTAGCCATAAAAGCTAATATTAAAACTATAATAAAATGACTTTTACACCCTTTCTCAAACAAAGAAGTAGAAGGTAATTTTAGTCTAAAAAAAGTTCCACATTGCATTCCCACTTTTAAATATAGTATAGATTATTGTGCTATGTTTAAGTGCCAATATCACAACTTTTTTATATTTTAATAAAAAATATAAGTTAAATCGTAATTACCACATAAAATGAGCAAAGTTATTCTTGAGAATTAGAATAAAATTAATTGCTTGATTGATGTTGGTTCCGACTGTCAAGATTTTTGCATTGCTGTTCACATTTCGGAATTCACATGTATTGGCCTTCAATCATCAGTTAGCAAGCCATTTATCTTCAAGATTAGTCATAAAACTAGGACTTATGGTTCCATAGTTATTTTATTTTATTTTTTTAGGTATTACATATTAGAAATTATAGAAGGTTAAGGTGTGGAATAGAGCAGGGTGCATATGAGGTCCAAGATTTTTCCATGGAGAGCCTGTAGTTATATGGGTTTGATCTAGGGATGTCAATGGGTTAGGTTAAATGGTAAATCCAGGTTGAGCTGATCTTACAGGGTTGGGTTAGGGTTAAGCTATTCGGTTTTAGGTTTGAGTTAGGGTTTTGCTTCTTTGGCTCGAGTCAAATTCGGGTTTTGGCTGATCAGTCCTGCAACCTATTAGGTCATGATACCCCTACATATATACATAGTATTCTTGTAACTTTTTGACTTCTAACTCTATAACCTTTAAGTTTAGGATTTTTCTTATATGTTGATTTTAGTTTTCTTTTTTTTCAAATGGAAAAAGTGACACCTTATAATCTATAAAACAAATTCCTAACTTAAATTAACGACTTCAAGATTTACAAAATGTATTAAAAAATACAATTAAAATGCTACGAGTCAAATTGGATCCATATCATATTTGACCTTATAGGGTCGCGTCTAGTTTTGAAATTATGTACTTTTGAGTCAGGTGAGGTTAGGGTTGAGACAAACCCATGCTGAACCCAACCTGTTGACATCCCCAGTCTGATCACTTGTCTCCATATTTGCAACAACACCGATTGACCATCCTGCTACCGGTTCATTAGCATTTAAGGTCCAGGTGTCAGCAAAGAGCCTAGATATGTTCAAAGCAAAAAACCCATGTAAACACTCTGAGAACATAACCTTTAAGCCACACATGGAGAGATATTTCCAATGTGCAGTAAGCCCAGATTCCCTCCCCACAAAACTCTGTACGTACTTTAAAAGCATTAGCATCCATCCACATCCATAGATTGAAAGTAAGCTTACATCAGTGCTTCACAAGGAGGCCCCCACAATGCCCTACATCACATTGTCATCGGGAGATGTTTCTAATAGACGGTTGGGATGTACAGTGGGGCATTGGGGGCACTGATGTGAATTTATTAAAAATATCTCCTCATAAATTTAACACACATATATGAGAGATATTTTCAATATGCAAGTAGATACCAGTGTTTTCATGGTGCCTGCAGAGTTTTTGTAGGGATGAAATCTTATATCATGTACGTTAAATATGCCTACCATATCTTTTTAAGGCCTACTTATGTCAAGTCCGTATGGGCATGCCTGATGAGCACATAGTGTGCCTAAATACATTTATGCTATTTTTGTTTTGATAAAAAAAAAAACAAAATAAATAAATAAGAGAGAAACAGAATGTTTAAAGCCTAAGGAAGTCCCTAAGAAACTATTTCTCCTATTTTCTGTCAATAATAAAACACAGCCATGTTGTACGCTGATTGTGTGTTGGGGATTCTCAAAGATTAAAATATCAAGACGTACACTGATACACAAATTTTTGAAACATTTCAAGATTATCCAAACCCTCTAATGATTACAAAATAAAAAAAAAAAAAAAGAGTATTGATCATCTGGATATATCACCAATATTCAACTTTTTTGTCCTACAAACAATGTTCTGTCTATTGTTTTTGTGATATATATTATTATCACTTAATATTTAAAATTCAGAAAAAAAATGAATCAGTCAACCAGTAAGCTTTAGATAAGTAATAGTAAAAGCTGATGACACGACGACAAATAGGCCTTAGCTTCATTGGAATTCACATCAACACCCCACGAGTGCGCCCCACACCCCACGACAAATAGGCCTTAGATATACATGTGGGATGCCCCACATGTCGGGCGCCAATCTGATCTAGCTTCATGATGTGATGTGGTAAAAACAAATAAACAATACTTGAGTATGTTTCCGTAGTTGTCATCGGAAGATGCACCCAACACACGTTTGAGATGTGCCGTGTGGCCCGTCGGTAGGGCACAGATGTAAATTCACAAAGTGCATGATATCATAAAGCATGGATCTCCTGTTCTCCACTCCCCAATAATCGGCTTAACTTGACCGCTATCTTCATCAATTACTTTGTTTATATTTTAAGTACCGTGTAACCACATGTAATCATACAACATTGTTTTTTAATTATACCTTTTAAAAAAGACAAACGAAAATCATCATTGGATTAAAATGGATATTTAATATTTTTCAAAATTTATAATTTAGAATTCAGAATAATATTCTTTGTATTTAAAATTTAAATAAAAAAAGTTTGACCAATATCAATATACCTTTTAATATAATTATTACACTTTCAATTCTCAAAATTCAAAACAAACCAACATGCCCTAAATACCAACGAACAACAGTGGTAGTGGTTGGTAAGGCACCTTGTCAAATTTAAGCCCTCACCAATTAATTTGAGTTGGCATTCTTTACTCATTCTAACTTTCAAATTCAAATCTTCTGATTTTCCATTTTCCTAACAAAGAAAATGGAATCAAGATCTTGCTTTACAATCGGAATCAAAATCTTGGAATGGTTTATTCCCATAGTCTATTTGGTTATGATGAAGGGTGATTTTGCCATCCAATGACATTGTGACACGTGGCACAATAGGATTATCACATGACCCCAACGCCACACGAACAACTACGAATCTCACTAAGTCAAGGAGGTGCACCTTGGAACTAATCTGAGCATCTCGTACATAGCTTGGGCACCTCAAGAGAGCAGTTAGCAGCACCTTGTCTAGGGCCGACCTGTGGTACCTTGTCAATACCGGTCCAAGGGACATCGGCGTGAGGAACGACCTCCCTCAAAGGACTTACCGACTTGACTGAAGTCCAGGCGGCGACCTACGAGATGTGCTCGCCAACCTTCTCTGCGTGCGTCTTATCACTCCCGGGTCCTTCGAAAGTCAGCTCCCGCACCTATCGTTCCAGAGGCAATCGGATAAGGCACATAAGCCTATTCCGCATGCGAAACTACCTCCGTGGACTTTGGACCAGTAAATCACATCTTCTCGGGGATCTTGGACACGGTGTGTAAAGCTCACACCAACTGACGCCTATATAAAGGCACCCCCATTTTCTAAGAAAGGTATGCACGATTTAACATTCACAACTCCCTAACTCTGTATACCATCAGATTCAAACAGGAATGGGAATGGAAATTGAAATCAGCAAGAATGGGATTTCATTCCCAAGGGATGAAGAAGGAATGGCATTGGCCATTCCCTCAAATAGGAGAATGTCATGCCAATCCACTATAAATGAAAATGGAATTTCAATTCTGTCCAACCAATCAGCTGGAATTCGAATAACCCATCACGATTCCAGGTCCCTATTCTCGTAAACCAAACGGGCCCTGAGTTAATAACCAATGGTCACCCTTCAATTCATTGGCTAATGTACGTACTTATCTCTCCTCCATTTTAGGCCAATGGATCCACCGTCACCGTAACCGAATGTCTAATTCCCAGATGGGCAGCACAGCCTCAGCCTGGAATGGCCACTGTTATAAAGAAAGCTGACTGGCCGAGCGACTAACCACCCAATCCAGTTCGGCATGGGACAGTTTTAGGGACCGTCTATGGAGTCTTGGTCTGCTTCATCTTCCAGAGATTCGAAAATATTAGGTTTCTCTCCCTTCTCCCATTGATCATCTTCGCAATTTTTTAGGACGGAATTGGAAAATATTTGGGGTGGGTTAAGGGGGAAAGAATTCACGCAAGTTAAGAGAATTTAAATTTTTTTAGGGTCCACAATGACGCTACCTTTTTGACTCCGTGAAAATATCTCTATTGGGTGGGACAGAAAATGTGAGCTCCAAGGTATTAACCCTCAACGCTATTCTATCTCTATTTCTTTCTCTCTCTACAATAATGAATATATATATATATATATATATATTTCTGATTTTTATTATATATTTATTTATAATATATATTATAAAAATTTAAAACTGAAAAACTAACGAATCAAACCGATCAATCTGGCTTCAGTTCAATTTCAATTACCCATTCTCCAAAAACCAGTACTACTGGTTCAGTATGGAAAATAAGTTCATGGTTCAGTTAACCTAACCATGAACACCCCTCAACAACAACACCAATTTGATCTTTCTCCCTCTCTCTGGGTTGCTAATGATCTGGGTCAATCCAAATTCATTTGACCTCAACCCAAGCCTGCCCAAGTTGCACTCCTCTGTATTTTGAGTCCAGATCATAAATAGGATCAGGTCTGTCCTGGTCTGGGTTGTCATTTTTTCAATGGTCTATTTTTATGTAAATATGCATTATCTTAACAATTGACAAAGTTGGCTAGCCCATCCAAAGCTCCAAAGCATAAGATTGTCTATTTTAAGGCATGCTTTTATTTAAGGTTTTTAAAACCGATTTGGAGAACGAACTGGTCGGGAGTTTGGTTCCTGGGTTGAACGGTCAGCCCATTCTGACAAAAATAAAATAAAAAATTTAAAAAAATAAAAAACAGTCAAAACTGTTAAATAGTTCAAACGATTCGATTGCCTGGGTCTTCGGTTTACTGACCAAATCAACGTTTTTTTGCCAAAATCCAGTTTTAGTGAAAAACATAACTGATCACCTGACCGGATCCCGGTTTTTCCGGTCCAATCCAGTTTTGAAAACCATGTTTTTATTTGTCAATGGATGCATTTGGCATTCCTTATTTTAAGGACTTATCTCCTTTTTTAAAGTTAAAAACTTAGTTTCTACAAGGGCATTTTAACACGAAAAGGAGAGAAGTCCTTATAAAATAAGTAATGCCAAATGCAACTTAATTAGGCGTAAAAAAAAAAAAAAAACAATACGATTAATTCTGTGTATATTGCTTATTAGGGCTACAAATGGCATATCCATTTCTCCGATTGAGTCAGATCTTAGATATATCCAATCCGGTTCGATCCATTTGCTGATTTGCAACCCTATTTGTAAGTCGGATCTGTATCGGGACTGGGTTCAGGTGCTTTCTTATTGGTTCAGGGCCGGTTCTACCCGGACCCAACACATCGGCAAACCTATTCTACCTAAACGAACACCACATTATTTGTACAAACTACAAAGGACTTCGCATTTCAGATAACCATATCAAATTTTCCAATTCTTAAAGACTTCCAGTCTTGATTGAAGAAATAAACATCTATTCTCCTCTTCTCGTCTAATAAAATTTTCCAATGTATTTTTGACTCAACTTTTCTAAATTTGCATTTGGCCTATGATTTGTATCAGTTTACTCGGTTCAAGTGTGGAGGAATATGTGTGGGGCTCAGCTGGGCCCATGTCCTCGGAGATGCATTCTCAGCTTCCAGATTCATCAACATCTGGGCCCATATGTTGGCTGACCGTCTTCCACCCAAGTTGCTGCACATACCAAAGCTAGATCCCAAAGCCCAGAAGCAAAAAGCCCCTTCCACTGCTGTCTCCGAACCCCTCTCCATAAAACAGATAGAACCAGTTGGAGACTATTGGCTAACTGCTAATAACTGCCAAATGGAAACATTCTCTTTCCAGGTCAGTTCTACCCAATTGACCCACCTGTGCTCAAAGATACCAAACCAAAATCAAACTAGCAAAACCCCTCCATTTGAATCTCTCTGCGCTGTAATCTGGCAATGTTTGGCAAGGGTTAGAGAAAATCCAGAGCCAAGGATGGTAACCGTCTGTCGAAAAGGTTACCATGACAAAGAAGATTGGATTTTGAGCAACAGCCAGATGTTGAGCATAGTGAAAGCAGACTTCTCTGTTGCAGATGCCAACCCATCGGAGTTGGCAACACTATTGGCTCAACGATCGGTGGAGGAGAACAGCCGGGGGCTATCGGACTTCATCACACTAGGCGTAAACCTGACTTTTGTTAATCTGGAAGACATTGAGCTTTTTGGATTGGAGATTAAAGGGCAAACCCATCTATGCGAATTATTCAGTTGGTGGCATCGGTGATGAATCGTTTTGGTGCTTCTAGGCCCAGGATCAAGCACTGTTGATGAGGAATGCACAGGAGGGAGAACGGTGACTGTAACACTACCAAAAAATCAGGTCTCCCAGCTGAAAAAAAAGAGCTCAAGAAAGAATGATGCATTACTTTCTGCAGTTTGAACTGAGATGATAATGTTGGTTTAAATATTCTTATTGGTACTAGCAAATGTATGCACGTGGTAATTTCAAATAATAATAATCAAAGCATGATGTATCAGTGGATTTGTTGCCTTTCAACATAAAGATCTGGTTTCAAATCTGCTTATTATAGTTTATATCAGTGTTTTTAGTTTGCGGTTGAATTGGATAGTCAAGTTGATTGACCTATCATCTAGATATATTTATAAATATGTTTTAATCCAAACCATTGACTTAGAGGTAACTTTGTTGGTTGAACTGCTGACCTATTTGACCAGGCCAATGGGACATGGGCAAGTATTAATTCTCTTTTTCTTTTTTGTTTTGTATCTTTAGTCATTTCCATCATTAGTAATAATAATTCTCATTTTCACACATTTTTGTTAAACATGACGAATATATATTGCTAAAGGCTTGCTCTAATTTTCTATAATTTTTATAAAAATTTTCTATGGTGACTTGCTGGATTAGGAACGAAATGCGGTTCCCATTGATTTTTAGAACATTACATTAGTTTATTATCTGTATTCTGGCATCTCCCTTCCATCTATATTATAGTATCTTTATTTTTAACAACACAAGTGGAAGTTGTGAGAAATATCAATTAGGATTTACTAAATATATAAATTTATCAATTGCTTTCGTGAATACAGCAATTTATGAATTAATAGATATATAAATTTATCTCTTCCTCAATTCAGTCTTCTTAGTTTGCAGCTCCTGCTTTTTCAAACCCTGAATTTATGCAAAAGATCAATACAGCAAATGAAGCTTATGCTTATGGAAAACACAACATAGCGCATATCATTTATTTCTTCACATTGCTTAAAATTGCACTCATATTTTCTATATCAAGAGGTAAATCAAATGTTGCAGTATTACACCATAAACATAGTTAAATCTGCAGGTTTAGGTGGAAGAGGTAAAGCTTTGAATTTGTGGAAGAAGGAATACTTCCATGATTCTAGAAATTTCAGCAGGATAATGTCTTCATTATTGACCAAAAGAGCCGGAGTATAAGAAAAGGAAAGAAACCATTGCATGGTGCAATTTGAAGCAACTTAGAATTGCAGCAGCACCATGTGCAAGTAAATAGGCAGGGCAAATGTCTATATAATTCAAATCTGATCACAGTTATATTAAGAGTTTGTAAGAAATTTACAAGGGCACTTCATCAAGCAAAAATTCTCGGAGGAAACAAAGTAAACTTCTTAAAACTTGTAAACTTAATATACAAAGGCCATACAGTTCATGAAATACTGTCTGGGTTATAAAACCAACAGCAGAACACAAAGTCATTGATGTCATTCTGGGTTTGAAGCTAGAATGATCCCATGACCAGGTAAAGGTTAAACCATCTTGTAATTGAATTTGAAAGAGAAAAGTAGGAGTTTGTAGGGTTCCATCCACATCAAACCAAATAAATTTGCTACAACTTCAGATTCCATTTCAGTTCCAATTGCACTAAAAACTTGAAAATTTCAGTTCCATTTACCAATTGGACATTCCTATAACACTTACAGCAAAAGTGTTTAACATGTAGATAATTTTGCTCTACCTGAAACTTAAGGATAACCTTTCTAATAGGATCCTTTAGCAGCAAAGAAAATTATCAATTTTTGTGTATCTATAACAAAATAATAGCAAACATCATTGCTTAAACATAAAGAAGCAAAGGTGCACAATATATGGTTATATTATATACCTGTTCCTCGACACCAATAAACTTCAATGTGATCTCTTCAAATGATAATATGTAGTTGATCTGAAAATGGATAAAAAAGGAAGCATCATTAATCATCATCTAAGAAATTTCCCATTGTAGGTAAAAGTCCACATCACTCCAAAAGAAAAGTACTTATGTAGAATCCATCTCTCTCAACCTCAACCTCCTGCCTATCTGTCACCGCAGAAAAACTCAATGAAGTAACTAGAATATCAAGCTTGGCCAGTCTCTTATGTCATCACCTACAAAACTGTGGTCCTGCAGAAGAGAGATGAAGCCCTAGATAGAAAGAAGACAGGAAAGTTTGCCATGAACAGCACATCTCCCATATGAGAGTAAAAAAATTGTGAGTTTAAGAGAAATAGGCACAACCCGATCAATTAAGAGAGGGTTTTTGATCAAGGAAAGTATTAGAGGTTTCCTGTAATGTGCTCCAAAGGTGAGAAGCAAATGTCAAATCTATGAAGTGTAGAAAGGGTTTCCATCGATATTAATTGTTAGGCCCATGACTTTATTTTTTTAATTTAATGGGGCCTACTGTTGTTTTTAAATCACATTTATCTGATTGAAGCCATTTTTTTATTTTATTTAGTGAGGGTTAGTACCACTTCCCCATAACTTATGTTATTTTTACCAAATTTAAATGCCTATGCCAGCAAAAGTTTATGACCTCCTGTAACCACCAGCTAAACCGAAATTTCTGTGGTGCTTTCTTCAACATTGATCCACCATGTCTTGATCACTGCATGTCAATTCCCACCACCAAAATATCTAAGAAAACGATAGGAATGCAAATGGAAATCATTCTTTAATACAAATCACCAAGGGGTTCTTTTGCTACACCATCAGTACAGAACATTTATGTCATATAGAAATTAGGGAACAATGCAAAATGGATTTAAGTGACCATAATTTAACAATAGATATAGCATTAAATAGAATGGAATGGTGAAAACAGGGTTCATGTAGCCAACACCCCATATAGTTGGGATAAGGCTTTGAATGATGAAGACAGAATGGAATAATTGTTCCTACATTCAGACTGTAAAACACAAAATATTGGGGAAAGAGAAGATTTTATAGGCTTTTTAAGTTCTTTTCATACACAAAAGCCTTCAATTACAACAAACGGAGGGAGGGGGGTCAGATCACTAGTGTTAACTGGAAAGGTTAAGAAACAAATAGAGATATCAGGTGACCCCTTGATTCTCCATGATAAGGAAACTACATATATTTGGAGAGTGATAGCAATCACTAGAGATCAGCACAGCATCAGACTTCATATCCCGGATTTATCTTCTGTTGAACATCTCCATAACTTTCTAATTCTTCCATATCCTCCAGGCTACCTAGGAAGAGAGGAAGCCTCTGGTGCAGCTCAACTGGTTGAATTGAAAGAATTCTATTTTTACCATCAGAACCCCTACCACCAGCTTGTTCCACAAGAAAACTTAGAGGGTTTGCTTCATATACTAGACGAAGATGGTCCCTTGGATTCATTGCCACCCCACCATACATAAGGGTCCGATGGAGATCAGCAACCAGAGAACAGATATAACGAGCTGAGTATTTCTTTGGGTACTTACCCTTTCCTTGTCTGATTGTGTCAATATATTGCCTTAAACCTTCGGGCCAGTCAAAATACCGTGCATCATTTACGGAATAGATTTGCCCTGACATAAATGGATAACCAATTAATCATAAGCATTGATACCAGTTGCCATCAATTATCTACTTAGTTGAAACTTCCCAATTACCCAAGCCCAAAAAGAAGCACTAAACACAAATATAGCACAACCAAACTCCAACATTGACCTAAGAGACACAACTTAGATGCCTAAACTGAGTCAGTTTCGATCTGATTCAAATCAAGCCAGTCTGTTGCAACCTTATGATACAAAATATGAATACAAAAATTTAATGTAGTGTCAAGATGTGAACCAGATAATTGATCAGAAAATTAAACTGTTCCAACTCCAGTCTAGATACTGCATGGTTATTTAACATCAACAAGCAAGGTCAGGTTTTGGTTGGATCTATCCCTCAAAGTCCTCAATCCAACTCTTACCAGAATTCAGAAATGAGATGTGATTTCCAACAGAAGCCAAATTGAATTGCAGAAAGAACACTGCTAAACGCAACTTAAATGCAACTGGAAATTGAGTGGGTCCATTGGGAATGGTTTGAGCCTGACCAACATTGCAATGCCTATAGAATTCCTTCAAGTTATCAAATATCCTAAATTACTCTCTTCTGAACTGTAAACATCTACTTCATATTGGAGGGTGAAACCTACCAATCAATGGAGCCAACAAGATCATGCAACAATAATCTGACACAAATGGGCAATTATAAGTTTATAACCATTTACAAAACAAGATGAAAAAACTATATTTTTTGGGCAGGGAAAAAACTCAATAATCCAGAAAAGAATGCCAGAATAGTTATGGTCATGTGCATTGTCATGCAATCACCATGATCTTTTTAACTTAATGGTAGGCCAAAGTACAATATGAAATATTACCCCGAGGAGGAACTTTTATGCTTTGGTGTGTAAGAACAAAGTCTCCAGTTGAATGATCCAGCGTGAATGCATGTGTTCCTGAACCAAAGCTAACACAGAATATGGTAGCAGATGAATAAAGAACATAACCAGCTGCCACAAGCCTGCTCCCACTCTGAAGTGAATTCAACAGTGCCTTTTCTTTTATTGGTAGATGATCTAATTCCATGAGGCGGTTATAAATCCCAAACATTGTTCCAGTGGGAATTGAAGCATCAATATTGCGAGAACCATCCAGAGGATCAGTGACCACAACAAATGGACCATCATCAGTTATCCAAACTGGAAGATCATCTTCCTCTGAAGCCATTACTGCAACTTTACCAGAATTTCGGAGTGATGACAAGATGATTTCGTTCTACAATAAAAAAGGAGGATTTGCATATAAGACACATATCTTTCCTTTTATAGGCTTCTTATATATTTACAGCTAACAGAGGGGAGCTCATTTGAGGTTCTCAATTTTTTGGAACACAAGAACTCTGGTCATCCTCCAAAAACCACTACTTATACCTCAATGAAAACATTCCAACATCCAATAAACAAACTTTATATTGGATGATCTACCGAAAAACATCCCATGATCCAACAAGCATGTGACTGAATTGTCATGAATGGTCGTCTATCAATCTTGTCTTATATGAACAAGTTCATACACAGAATAACTCTTGATTAGGCAAGCATTAAACTGCAGGGTTGGATCCATCGTATGTGAGCCCAGACGCTGATTAATTGTCGAATAGAATTAAAAAGTGACATGGCAAAGTCCAGTTCATGGGTGCATTTGTTGGTTTAATCATTATGAATGGGCCAGATCCTCAACTAGAAGAACAATTTCTGATATTAAGAAGGAACCTCTACTAGAATGTCGACTAGATACGAGCACATATTTGCAAGTTTTCTTTCCAAAAGGAAACACGAATCTTTATGCGCAATTAAGGCGCACAAAAAACAATTAAAGACCTCGACCGAGGAAGAAAACAAGAACAAGAAATTAAAGAGTTAAACACTCCTAAAACAATTAATATACCTCCAAAAATTCAATCGAAGAGTGGGAAGTAAGAGTACCGAAACGATATCCAACGGCTTCGGAGCATCCCTGCCGGCGACGGATGATAAGCTGCCACCAGCGAGACCCATCTTTTTCCCGAGCACCGAATTGACGGGAGAAGCCACAAGAGCAGCTATTTTCTTGCTGGCGTACTGTAGATGAGAGAACAGCACCACAAGGTCATCTCCGACGTCAGCCCCTCCCTTTCCAACATAATCTATCAGAGTCCGAAGACCATCTCCACCAGATTCTCCGCTGCTCTGAGGGCCACCCATCTCTGATTTGGCCCTGAAACTGGCAAAAGACGACATTCGAGGACGATGAAGAGAGCCACCGAGAATGACTTGATTAGATGGCACGAGACGGGGCAACTTTGGCGGGAAATTCAGGTTGGAGTTCAATAAGAGAGTGGATGATTGCATTACTTCTCCGACTCTGAACAGGGATGATGAGGAGTGGCACTGAAGAGATGAAGAGGAGATAAGATGATGAATTGAGTCATGGTCTTTCCTCTTTCCTTCAATTTCTTTTCTGGTAAAGTTTGATAAAAATCATTCGAGGAGATTAGCTTGAAACATTCGTCATAAGAAGGCCCAACCCGACTCGGTCGGGTTTTCATCGGGTCGGTTTTGGGTTGTGCAAATTCTTAAACCGATGATTTGGGTCAGTTTCGGTTTTCACACAAGAAAACCGAAATCGATTTGAACCGAACCGACTTAGTTCCTAGTTCAAACATGAATTTCCAAAGCCCATTAGGCCACCTAGTTTTTGAATGGTTGCAAGAAACTTTAGATTAGTGAATAGTGATTAATGAACAACTTTTATGATTAATTTTTCATTTAAATTTTATCATAGGAGATGGCTGAAATGATGTTCAATTTATGACTGTTTTTAAAATTAGCAAGATTTTATCACAGGGATGAACTTAGAACTGAAACCGACCCAACCTGACTCAAACCGACTAGGTCGGTTTCGGTTTCTATGTCAGGTAATCCAATCAGGTCGGGTCGGTTGGAAAAATCACAGTAAACCGACCCAACCCGATCCATGAACAGCCCTAAGGCTAGTAGACTGTAAACCACCCGTGAACGCTGTGGACACGTGGTGAAAGTGAGTGTAGAGAACGAGATCGAAATGGGCCGAGCCGAGAGATAACGCGCTGAGTTAAATTACAAAGACCTTCTTGTACTATGGAATCTGTGACAAAGACCCCCTATACTTTGTTTTGAGATAAAGTCTCCTATGACCGTGAGACAAATATCTTTTCTGTTAGTCTTTCGTCCAAAATAGCCGTTATAATATTTTTTAATTCCCATACTACATACTACCCTTGAAGATGAGAATTGAAAATTCTACAACATCGGGATTGAACCCATTTAATCCTCCTCTTCTTGGTCGATTAGGGAGGATGCGTTCATCCGCATTGGCGTCAACGGGTGGGAATCTGTCTTTATCAACATCCCCATGTGGATTAAAAGAGGAGAATGAAAACAAAGGTCAGTTGATAGAAAGCTTAGCGCCTTTGTATTCCAACAACCACTAAAACCAGCAAGCAAACTCAGCCCACACGTCAGCGACTGTACTTTTACAGAAGGCAGCTCAAATGGGATCGACTAGGAGCAACCCCTCATTTCTCGGTAGCTTCGGAGTGGTGAGTTCGTCTTCCTCAGATATAACAAGCTTCAATCCTCACGCCCGGAACAGAAACGAGTTCCACCAGTTAACGAGGCAAGCTACAAAGCAACCAGATAACATAAACGAGCTGATGAATCGATATCCACGGCAACCACCACCACCGGGGTTGGTGATGGAATGATGGGTGGGTTGAATTTAAGCACAGTAAACAATCTCGACCGTCTAATGATCCCGCAGGGTGGAAAACAAGGCCAATCAGTTCCAGTTCCACAAAAGTTCCTCCCGACAGCAAATGAAGTGGAACACAGTCTTACGAGAGATTTCCTAGGCGTAGGAGGAGATGCCGGCAGGCCATTCTTACAACAGAGTTAGCGAAATTTGCTTCGATGGTTCAGCCATGAACTTGAGCCAATACAGTAGCACCCACTGAACTATTGCTCCTTTACATTATTTTGACAAAAATCATTGTTGTATGATGCAATTACAAGTAGTTTAAGAGTAAGACAAACAGAACAGAAGTTGACTGTGGCGAACAGTTCAGTGGGTGGGGGGCAGTTGTCAGTGCAGCAGGTGGAAGCAACTCTGCATTGCGGAGGGGGAGTCCTTGGAGTCATGCATGTTGTTGGCCTGGCCCTAGCTTTCTTCCCATCATTTCTTGCTTTGAAACTAAACAGCGTGGAAAAACACAAGATGCGTCGACTGCCGATCAAAGTATACCGGCCGATGGTGTCAACGTTGTTTTGAATCTTTGGAGTTCGGATCGATGCGTTTCTTTCCCTTTGACGTTTCTTTCAATTATCTCATCAATTCTTCATCATTCGTAGTCTAAATACATTTTCTTTTTTTTTTTTTTTGTTTCTTCTCGTCTGGACTAATGAGAAGAAAGGGAAATGAAGAGAAGAAAGGAAAACAATAGGTTAAAAAGATTTTAAGAGAAAAAAAGGGCAAAAAGAAGAAAATAGAAAAGGTTTAGTGGGGTATTTTGGTAATTTAATATATTATGTCATTGACTTAATAGTTAAGGTGGGTCTTTGTCTCACGGTCATAGTAAGGGGGGTTTTGTCGCAAAACAAAGTATAGGGGGTCTTTGTCACAGACCCCATAGTATAAGGGGGGTCTTTGTAATTTACCCTTAAAAAAAGGGAAAATTTCAGATTAATAACCTGTACTTTGGGTTTGGTGCTATTTTGGTCCCCGAATTTTGAAACGCTATAATTCACTATAATTCATATCTGAATTTTTAAAACGTATCAATCTAGTACCTACCATTAATTAACCCAACCTGTTAATCAATCGTTAAGTGTCATTTGAAAAGATACAAATATTCTTCGAGTGTTATGTAATTCTCTTTATCAATCACCCAAACATTAATAAAAAATGAATAATCTCAAATCCTTGCCTCTTCTGTTCAATAAAGTTGGGGTCATCAGAATGTCTACTATGACCTAACCCCTACTTTCTTGAATAGAAGATGCAAGGATTTGAGACTGTTCATTTTTTTAATATGTGGATGGTTAATAGAGAAAATTAGATGGCACTCAAAGGGTATTTGTGTCTTTTCAAATATTACTTAATGGCTTGTTAACAGATTGGTTAATGATAGATACTGGAACTGAATTGTCATGTTTTAAAGTTTGGAGACCAAAGTGGCACTAGGCCCAAAATACATGGTATTAATCATGAATTTTCCCTTACCGTAAGAAAAAGTCCAATGTGCCACTTTATTTTAAATGTATATTTCTGCAATAGTGAAACAATACAACTAGAACATGGGTGTTTATATAATTTTACCTATCACCATAACATTAGATGAACATATTTGGATTTAAACGTATATTCTCTAATTTTATTTCAGGTATTAAAGCAATACATTTGAAAATTCAAGTCCTACGGTGAGACTATACCTAGAATAGTTATCTACAATTTATCCTTAAAAATAAAATCTTGGACCAGATTGCCCACCCGAACTGGATTGGTCGTGTATTCACTATTTAGTAAAAAAATTGTAAATATATTAAAAATTAAAAATAAATAAATAAACATTATCATGCATAAATTGATGTTGTTCGACCCGAAGTGATCCAAATACGTGGCAAATAGTGCTACTAACTTGGACGAAATTGGGGTAAAAGTGTGAAATCATGCACCAAGTGGATTTGTAAGCAGGAGAAAGCAGAGGCCCAAGGATGAGGTCCCCGGGAAAGGCATTATGACGCTCAAATCAGTAACAAGGTGACGAAGTCGGTCATGCCGAGCTATTGAGGACAAATTGGTCAAGTTGAGGGAGTATGAGCATGGTTTTTAAAATTGACCCGGTGATCGAACCGGTTAGGGGTCCGGTTACAGAGCCAAATGGTCCGACCATTTGAACCAAACGCTCGACCTGTTATGACAAAAAAGTTCAAAAAAATAAAAATGGTCAGAACCGTTCGAACGGTTCAAATGGTTAACCGCCCGGTTTAGTGGTTCGCTGACCAAAATCAACGTATTTGGGAGGAAATCCGATTTTTGGGGAAAACAGAACCGGTCATCCCGGTTTTTCTGGTCCGGTCTGGTTTTGAAAACCATGAGTATGACGAGGCCACCCATCGAGGTCTTCTGAAGGCTTCGACTTCCTTGTCGAGGGCGCTTATCATTGGGAGGTGGTGCTTATCCTTATCCGTGAGAGATTCCACTTCTCTTCAAGATCTTCAACTATGTGATTATCCACGCTTCTCGATGGACAATGTGTTAACATGGTCCGAGAACATCAACCATGAAGGCATCCATGTGGTAGCTTCGATTGGCTAGAAATACTGCTCGAATGCTAGTTCCCCAGTTCTGAAGTTGAGGAGTGAGGTGCTCGGCTACGGTGGAGTGGAATGGCTCATATAATGCTTGGAGTGGAATTTGGTAGTTTTTTTTTTATCGGTTGAAGCATGGTTGAATCGGGTCAAAGAACCGTTGTATTGGTTCTGGGTATTTTATTGTTGATTGTATAGTCCAAAAATCACCATTTCTTCTTATCGAGCTTATGTCCATGCGGAGTGCAGTGATGCATTTGGACTGTCCATTAGGTTTGACCTAGACCATTGGTTGCCTCTATATAAAGAGGAGGGGGTGAGCCATTTACTTTATCATTTTAAGCAATAGCGTGCTTTTAGAGTTCAGCTGGTGCTCGATTAGACTTCATCATTGCTTGGTGCTTCAGGTGTTTTGTACTCTTTTTTACTTTTGTAAGATGTCTTCTACTTCATCCTTTTCTTTGGCTTCTAGATGTTTCACTTGGGAGGGGATGAGTCGTGACCTCAACAATAGGTCACTAAGGTTAGGGTCCTAGAGACCAACGCTAATGTGGCCAAGGTCAACAAGGAACTAGGTTGTGTGGGAACGGTCGAGGCCAGGGGGGCCAAGGTCGAGGAGACCAATGAGGCTGAAGTCAAGATTTCATCAAAGGATGAAGAGGAGGAATCGGGTGTCACAAAAATGGGTCATTCACAAATTCACCCATGTAGAGGCGAATGAACAACTCATGATTGCTTTTACCTTCATATTGTCGTTCCAACCCCATAACAAAGCATTAACGACATCCAGTGTAAATGGCGTTGATTCATATATGAATTTTAGCTTTGAAACCGAAACTTTCAACTAAGAATAACAATATGAGGATGAAGAAAAAGAAATTGATCAAGAACTAGTGCATTCAATCTCACGGTGTTTCCTAAGAAAACAAGGTAAGTTATCAAGGGAGGATTAGCTTTTACGAGCACTCTAGATACAATGTGGCCATGGAATCTCTCCCTTTTTTCTAATCTTTCTGAAACATGAAAATGTTCTTCATTGTTATCATGCATTAATGATGTGAATGACACTTCTTTTGCCCCCAAATGCATTTATTTTATGCATGAACGATGTTTATGTCTTTGTAAAATTGATTTATATTGCTTGAATGGTGGAGGTTATCTAAGGTCTCAAATATTGCATAGCATTAAGGCTCTGTTCGCTTTTTAGTAAGTTACTAATCCAGGTAAATGCATTTACCTAAATAAGTGTTTCCCATAAAAGACTTATCCGGGTAAGTGCATTTACCCATGTTCTTTTATTTTTCATGTAAATAAGGTAATGGTCATCTTAGCCATAAAAATCTAATACTAAAATGTGCATTTTTGTCCTGTTCAAGTGTTGTCAACTGTTCCCCCAAGTGGAAAAATTATTTGTCCTTTTCTGATCCCCACATTAATGTGAAAAAAGAATATGGATTTTTTGGTCAATGGAAATCAAAATCCCATTGACCAACTTTACCCATCTAAGAATCCAAAAAAAGAATGCCCCCTAATTGAAATCATCATATTGTGGATTGTGAAATCAACAAGATTGCCCTCAAATACCAAGGTTAATCAAAGATTGGTCTTTCCCATAGCTTTCTCGCTCCAAACACAAAGAATATAATATAGAAAACCAATTAGATGATGAATGCATACTAAAATAATGTGCACAAACACTATATATTACAAAATAAATGCATAACTAAAAAAAACTTTTAAAAAAGGACACAAATAATCAAATACAAAGATTATTAGAATGATAATACCTTTTGCCAACAATCAAAGAGAACTAGAAACAATTTTAGACACCAATTTTTTATAAGAAAGGGACAAACCCTAATCATTGTCACTAGCTTATTGTTTGCATATTATTGATGATTGCAATTTATCCTTCAATTGCCACTTTGCTTCTGTCGATGGGTGGCAGGGTGGGAGATTAGACCAAAGAGGGGGACCAATTGATGCTTTGAGCAAAACAAGGGATTAAGAGAAGGAAGAAGAGGAGGATCAATAGAAAAGGAAGGAAAGGGGCTGATACAAAACAAAAGGGAAGGATTTTGATATTGGAAAATATTTCATTTTGCAAAGTTTAATGGAGACTTCAAAATGGTATTGGGAAGAATGAGAAATAAGGGAAGAAGAGGGTGCCCATGTGGCTATATGAGACAACTCGGTAAGAAAAAGAAAGGAGAGACATGCTGACATGAGCTACTTTGCTTAATTTTATACACATAATATATGCCATATAATATAAGATGCTATATATATTTAATATTTTATGCATAAAAGCCATAAACTCGAAAAACCAGGTTTTTCATAATTTTTCAAAAATATTTATTTTTTTTTTCAAAAAAAAGGTCGGCCCTAGGGCTATTCATAACAAGACCCAAACCGACTAAACTGACCAACCCGGTCCGATCCAACCTGAGTTGGCCAGCTTTTCTTTAGCACCGGTCGGTTTTGGGTTACAAAAAACATAAACCGATGGTTCGGTTCGGTTTCGGTTTTTGTGTGTGTAAACCAAAACCGAACCGACTTAGATATATTATATATATTTGATATATTTCAGTTTTAATATATATATTGGTGGAAATATCAGCTTTATTTCGGAAATATACATATTATATATAAAATTTCAGCTTTAATCCATCAAATTATTTTTAATTTCCAGGCATCCAACCTTCGCTTCTTAGACTTGAATCTTTATCGTTCACACCGGGAGAATCATTCACAAAACCGACCCAAACCGACTAGGTCGGTTTTACTTAGTATTGGGTCGGTTTCGATTTCATTTCTAGGTAAACCGACCAAATCGGGTCAGTTGAAAAAACGTCAATAAACCGACTCAACCCGACCCATGAACAGCCCTAACCGGCCCATGATCATTCATAGCTACTGTTATTTAAGAGATGATAATATCCCAAGAATCAAGGTCTAACTCAGGCCCAGCCCTTTGGTAGGCTATCGGTGTTGGGTTGATGGGTTCAACCTAGTTTAGGCCCTTTGGTCCAGTTGATCCACTGAAGCAGTTTACAACATGAAATGGCAGCCACCACGAGCACCACGACAAGGGGTTTTATTGTGGTGAAACTAATTGGAAGTATCGAGATGAAAATATGGGCCAAACATTATTTAATGAATATCCCCATGAGGCACAAGTTTGTGTTGATTGACTTGATTCTCTCATTCACGATCACAAAATATTTGTGCTATTTCTTTAGTCCTTATTCTTCTTGGCACAATTTTTACACCTCTCACTCATGAGTCATGACTCATCACGTGCCGCGCTACCTTCGTTGTGGCATTTTCCTGTGACGCTCCAATAAGGGTCAAATTGATAGGAGTACAAATTTAATAAATCTCATGCATAGCTCTGCACTGGTCCCCGTTAACATAGATATATAATGTAAATGTATATAAAATAATATAAAATATAAAGTTTTGCACTCTTCAAATTTGTATTTGTATTCCTTCCAAACTGAGATAAGACCGAGAAGTGTGGGGGAGGTGAAAGGTGCCTTACTATCATATGTCTCATATGTAGTCTCTCATTCTCTCTTTCTTCACATATGTGAAAAATTAAAAATAAATAATTACTAAAGTGAAAAATGAAAAAATAAAAAATTAGTTAAATATATTAATCTCATATTATAAATTATTGTAAATCTCAACGTATAAGCATGTCTTGTCATTAAATTTTAAATTTTAATATGCTAATTATTTATTGAATTTAATAATCTATAGAATTATAATTTATAATATTATTATATAATTTTGTTATTAGTTTTATAAAATATTAAATTTTTATTAATTTGAATATTATGTTGTAATTATTTTTATACTTTTAAGTTATTTTTTTTAATTTATTATATAATTTTCTTATTTTAACTATTTAAAATATTTAGTTATTTAAATAATATATAAAATATTTAATTTTTTAATTATTTGCAGAATAAAAGAAATTTTAGGATCCGTTTGATTTTGCAGAAACAAAGGGGGAATTGAAATTTAGCCATTTGATTGGTCGGAATCGGAATTTCATTTCGAATTTTTTGGTGAAATGATATTCTCCCATTTTAGGAAATGGCCACTTGCCATTTCCTCCCCCTCTCTCTTGGAAATGAAAATACATTCTAAGTTTCTAACTAACTATGATTCCGATTAATTATGAGGTGAACCAGACAGGTGGAAGAATGGGCCCTTCCGATTTGGGGCTTTTCTTTTGCTTTTAAAAAAGAAGAAATAGCGAAAGTCAATACCAGAATGGGTGATCAAATTGGCAACTTTTGTTTTGACGTACCAATTATAAATAAACACGCCAGTCGCTATAACACGTGGAACCGATCAGCCGGTCCAAGTCAGCTCGGGAAAGTTTCAGACGTGCAACCAAACACTAGGGAAAAAATGCATGTGTGGAAATTGGAAAAGCTGGATTTATGGTGGTGGGAGCCTGGGAGGTCCTCCCTAGATTCCAGGATTTCAACCCAATTCCCAAAAGTTCAGGGATATAGAATGGGACTGTTTGGGGAGTCAAGGGCAAACAAGTCCAACGGAGAAAGTTGGCTTCTCGTCTCGCAATAAATGCTCAACTCTAACTGGGTCAAAGATCTCCCTGGTCAGAGAGAGAGAGAGAGGAGGAGGAGGAGGAGGAAGATACGTCTCGATTACTATAGCAGTCTGCTCTTGTCTCGAATCTCGACTCTTCTCCTACTTCTCTTTTCATTTATAGGGTTAGAGAAGGTTAGAGAGAAGCATTTGTTCTTATAATTCTTCCGTTATACTTTTCGATTATTTCGAGATTTGGTCTATCCAGTACTTTCTCTAGTCTCTACATTCGTGCTACCATGAATTCTAATTCGATCTTCAAAACGAACTCGCTCCAGTCGATTTTGGGGATTTCGCTCGGATCGGAATCGGTGTCTGATTCGTTTATTCTGATATTCACTACCTCGGTCGCAGTGCTTGTTGGTCTTGTTTTCTTTATATGGAAAAGATCTTCTGCTCCCGAGAAACCCGCGAAGCCCGTCGTGGTCCTGAAGCCGTCGTCGCTTGAGGAAGAAGACGAAGTCGAAGTCGATCCGGGGAAGACTAAAGTCACGATCTTCTTCGGTACCCAGACAGGCACTGCCGAGGGATTTGCGAAGGTAGTCCCGTGGAATTAGGAAATTTCAAAGAACTTCATGCTCTTTTCTTTTCTTCAATACTTTTCACCTTTTTATTGGCGGAACTTGTGATTTTTCTGTTCAAGTTGAAGTAATTGCATTTTATAGTGGTTTTGGCTTCTAACAATATCATTGCTGAAGTTTGGCTAGTAAATGCTAGAAATTTGGAATGAAAATGAGCTCTATCTGTCTATTTTGGTTTCACTTTTTTGTTATAAATGCTAGAAAGTGGGATATTTGGATTAAATATCCAATCTTTTTTTTTTTCGTACTTCTAGTTTCAGTTCTTTTCGTAGGCTTCCGGTTTATCGCACATTTTCATATTGCAAAAAAGAAACTATTGTACTTATTGTATTAGTTTACATCTCCTATCCATTTGTTCTTATTTGGACCATTTAGGTCCAAAGAAATAGTATTTTTTTTACTTAATTGTTAAATTTGTAATAGCTACTCTTGGCAGTTTGAATTGGAGAGGCGATTTTTTGGAAGATATTTGTGGTCTATTTAGTATTCTAACTGGATTTGAGACTCCTTTTTGTGACAGGCTTTGGCAGAAGAAATTAGGGCTAGGTACGATAAAGCAGTCGTCAAAGTTGTTGACCTGGTATGTATAAAGGAAATAAAATATGGTTTTGAATTGGACATTGCTTCTTTTAGGCTTTATATTGGGATGCCTATACCATGACTATGAAGTCATGAACTTGTGTGTAGGATGATTATGCAGCTGATGATGATCAATATGGGGAGAAACTGAAGAAAGAGACTTTGGCCTTTTTCATTGTAGCTACGTAAATTATATTCCTTACTCTTAGTAGCAAACTATACGAACCCTTTGAATTAATTATGAGTTTTCCCAAGAAGCTGTTGTTTATTCAGATAATCTGATCTAAAATTGTAGCTATGGTGATGGAGAGCCAACTGACAATGCAGCAAGATTTTATAAGTGGTTTACTGAGGTGATTCTCAAGAAATCTTAGATAGAAAAAGCGTCAAGCCAAATAGTGTTAAGGTTTAAGACTTACTGATGATGAGGACGGATATATCTTTCTTTTCAGGGAGAAGAAAGTGGTGCCTGGCTTCAGCACCTGACATATGGTGTTTTTGGTCTGGGTAATCGACAATATGAGCATTTCAATAAGGTAAATATCTACTTTGTTGAATTTAAAGGTTCTGTCTTTAGGTATAATTTAAGTGGCACAAATTCCAAAACAGGTTGCCAAAGTAGTGGATGAACAGCTCAGTGGGCAAGGTATGTGTCCATCTTATATGCTTCTTTGAATTGCATTACTTTATTATATGATCAGAAATTTAAAACGTGATTTTAGTGAGTCTTCTCCATAATTGTTACTAAAAATGACTGGCTTCTTTAGTTTTTTTCCCTGTATGATATATCTATTAATTTGTCAGCTGCCCAAGGATGTACGGAGCCTTTTCCTACCATTCTTCAAAATAGATTGCATCTGTTACCTTCACCACTATTAGTATACTTTTAATGATCAAATGTTAAGAAATAAGAAGGAAAGATGTTATGGAGAATCGTTCCCATTTTTGGAATATGGGGGGGATTAGAAAGATATTTTAAGAGAAAATTCATGGATTGGGTGCTGATTTGAATGAGTTCAAAGAGATGCGAAGGATCAATATAAAAATCATTTGACCGACATTGTGTGAGATTTTTCTTTTGATAGATAATAGGAAAGTATTGTATTAATGAAAAGAGAGCGAGAAGCCCTCAATCATATACAAAAGAAGTGTGCCTTTAATATGCACAGATCATGTACAGAGAGAGCTCTAAAAAACCAAAAGAAAGAAAACTCAAAAAATGATGGACCACCACTGATCAGAGAAATCTTTGAGATTGACATTGTAAAGCATGACATACTATTTAAGAAATCTTTGCTGATAGAGTGGGTCTGTCAACTTGCTTATTTTGTGTCTACTTATATTTACTTATATCAATAAATTACCTTCTTACTAGCCTTAAAAGGGGATTAAATAAGAGTAAGGGGACATCTATCTTGTGGGAGTATTTTTGTTGCCTCTTTTTTTAGTTCCATGTTCTGTCCAGGATGTTATCTCAGTTTGGCTATAAGTATCGGTAGATAATAGGGGTAAAAATTTTGGAATATGGTATCTTTTATGGCCTGTTGGAGTATTTGGAAGGAAAAAAGTTATAAGATTTTTTGATAGATGTCAGAGAACTTTATGTGCTACTTTGAAACAGTTCTCTTATGGACTGAGCCTTGGCTTGTAAAGATTTATCTGGTTTAAAATGGCCAACCTTTGCATAAAAATATAGAGATATATGTAATTGAGGTCATTTCAGAATTCTGTGAGGCAATGTCAGTGTCCATTTAATATTTTGGTGATGACCCATTTATAGATGATGAACTTGTGTGTTTTAATGTTATGAATAGAAAAACAAAATGGAACGATTACATTCCATGTGGCTTCAAAGAACCATATGAATGGGTTACCTTGTATCTTTGTTTGGTTATATGATTTGTATGTGTGTAGTGTGCGTGTATTGTGTATCTACTCTGGTGCTGTCTGTTGTCGTATGCAGTCTTGATTTAACTAAAGGCATGATTACCATAAAAACTAAAGACAAAAAAGAAAAGGGAAAAACAAGTCACTGATAATTTGTTATCAAACCCAAAGCCTTTAGGACCTATAAAAATCCAAAGGTCTTTAGGTGTAGGTGTAGTTCAAACCCAAACCATTTTGTTAGATTCCTTTTGTGCAGTGTATTGGATAATAGGTTTCCAGAAGTTTAATGGTGGCTAATGCTAAGCTGTTCTGGATTTGGTTGCCTTTTTGAATGCAAATGGCTCAAGTCTTTATTGGAAATATACAACTAAAAAAAGATATCTTATTGGAGTTAATGGTGAGATTATGTTGGTTGTTCAGTTTCTAACCCATGGTCTAGAGGTTGAGGTTATGCCATCAAAGCACCAGATTGCAGTGCTAATAACTAGTTATCATGACATTGGCTGCTTGTTGCATTTGGTCCTACCATTTCAGCTGGTCTCATGTTCATGTCCACTGCAAAAGATATTTGGAACTTGCAGCCATTACACCAATATGCACTATCAAGTTATCCATCAATATGCAGTAGTAGAAGCTCCCTATCATGAGCATGGATAACATCCAGACAGATTCATTCTTGATTGTATTGTACAACCAGTGTTGAAAATTGGGATTTCTATTTTCTTGAAGATTGGCTGTCATGCTTTTGTTTCTTGAAGAAATAAAAGCAATTGCAACATGTACTTGAGTGTTTACTAACTGCTTTTGTCCACATAAATTAGGCGGAATACAGCAAATTTTTAATTTCTTCCTGGGCAACCCTTGGTTTAAGGTTAAGAATAGTTTTTATGGAGGGAGATAAATTTAACTACTGGATATGCAAAGTCAATGGAATAGACCCATATAATGCGATCTGGTTCTCTTATTTTAAGACAAGTCGATGTCACTTGAAGTTTTTCATATTGGTCCCCTTGATTGTTTGGTCTGTAAGAGATGCTGGTCCCGATGCAAATATTGCACATTGGTGATACATTGATTAAGAATTTTGTGACATTGCACTTTCAGTCCATGTTGTCAATCTTCATGCCCTCAAGGATGATACAAAGCAACTAATGTTTTCCACTATGGATACAAGTTTCACATTTCTTTTATAGTGGACTTGGACATGAGACTAGCTGAAATGGTTGGAGCAGTGGCATTAAGTAGCCTTGCCATGATAAATTGTTATTGGCTCTGCAATCTAGTGCTTTGATTGCATAATCTTTGATTACTGGACAATTAGCTAGATTTTTCTAATTGATATTGCAAATTAGCTATGTACAGAATCTGTGTTTTTGCAATTACTTTTACAGATCATGTATTTCATGAGCTGTTGATGTTGACATGCTTTTTTTTTTATGGTTTCATAATGTTCTCCAGATATACATAATGGTCATAGTGGTAACCCAATCCCTAGTATTTTAGCATGCGGGTTCCTTTTTTGGATGTTTGGTATGAAAGCAGAGGGCAACTACCATTAGTTTGAGCATTGATGAATGGAATTGCGCTGTAGGATAGCATTAGACCTTTGGGATAATGGTTGGTGATTGGGGTTTTGCAAATTGCAATCACAATTAAGAAATGCGTTTGTATGCACTATATAGTTAAACTATAATACATGTTTTGTAAAGTGTTGGAAAGTGTAATGTTTCTGTTGTTTTTTTTGCTTGATTGTATTGGTCACACCTTGTCTTTCGACAAATTTTTTCGTAAGTAAACTAAGAATTTTATAAACAGGAAAAAGAGAATGTCAAGAAAGACAACAGGAAGTGACCCAAGAGAAGAAAGTAAAAAAACACTCCCAAGCCAACAACCACAACAGCTCATTTGAGCCAGCAATAATCCTCTCCAAATTTCGATCTACATTTTTCTCAAATATCTTAACTTCTTCCCCCATGCTAACACCCTTCTCAACGGAACCAAGTGCTCCAGCAGCCTGCAGCCCTTAATTTATCTAGAGCCACCTCCGCACCTAAATTAAATCCTTCAGAGATTCATGATTCTCAAAATCAAACTCCCGATTCTCTTCCATTCACCCTTACTTTTCTAGCTTACTAAACAGTTTCCTTGAAACAACATAAGAATAATTTTTTTTTTATCAATAATAGATTCAGCAAATTCATTAAAATAGCATAAGAATAATTACAACAAGGAAGACAAACACTCTTATCTTCCAAATACAACTTAAATCCTCAAATGAAAGAAAAAGAAAAGAAGAAACAGTTTAGTTACAAGGCCCAAGAACATTGCATCCCTTTCTATCCCCTGTTTAGCTAATCCATCAGCTATAGAGTTAGCTGTTCTTCTAACCAAACTCATCCTAACTTTCATTTCCCACACCAGCCACTTGAATTTCCTCCTCTCATTACTGTAGTTCCATAATCCACAGTTGTCTTTCATCAGCCACCCTATCACCACCTCCGAGTCCCCTTCAATTATGAGTTTTCTGACATTCATCTCCTTAGCTTTCTGGACTCCTTCCATATTGCCAAGATCTTAGCTCTAAGGATATCCCCCACTCCAATTGTACCTGAGAACATGGCAGAAATGGTTTTGTTCTCATCCCTAAAAACACCCCCAATCCCTAATTGTCTAGGATTCCCCCTACGACTCCCATCAAAGTTTAATTTTAGAAAACCAACAGGTGGGGGGTCCAGGACACCCTCACTACTGATTTGGTCTGTGTGCAGTTTGCAATCTCACCCCACTTCCTCAACATGTCATCCACTGTGTAGTCTGTGAATAACTCTAAAGATTTCAGCCATTGTACAACCCTTATATGGATCACAACCCTCAATTCTGTAGCCCCTCTCTCATCTTCTGAGAAGATTCTAAGATTTCTTTCTTCCCATAATGACCAGCATACTGCAGCCCTCAGTCCTCTCCACATAGTCCTTCCCCTTTTCATGCGCCACCTGAAAAAAGAAGGGGAGAATAGGCTCTGCAAATCTGATGGAGGGTTCCACCTACGCCCAAAGAGAGAAAAAGCCCATTCCCAAATTGACTTTGCAAATTGGCAAGACACCAGTAAGTGAAAACCAGTCTCCCCATCCGCTTTGCACAGAGCACACCAATGAGGTGACAAGCACGTATTGGGTCTCTTCTTTTGGAGCAAATCACCAGTGTTGAATCTTTCTAGATAGGCTTTCCAACAAAAACTACCAACCCTAGGAGGAATTGGTCTACACCAAACCTCATTAACCGGGAAAGGGGAGGTTGCAGGACTGGTGGATCGGCATAAGACTTTGAAGAAGGAAGCACAAAAAAAAGTGCTCCTGGGGGTAGGGGTCCAAATTCTAGAGTTCACCTTAGAGGGGTCTAAAAAAACATTATCAAGAAGGTCAAGGAAGCTCAAAATACTGTGGAGCTCTGAGTCCCTTACAACCCTCCGCAGACCTAGAACAACATAAGAATAATTACAAGGAAGACAAACACTCTTTATCTTCCAAATACAACTTAAGCTCTCAAGAAAAGAAAAGAAAAGGAAAGGAAGGAACAATTAAATTACAACTTGGCCCAAAACATTGATTCCCTTTCTACCCCTTGTTTAGCTAATCCATCAGCTATAGAATTAGTTGATCTTTTAATCCAACTCATCTTGACTTCCATCTCCCGCACCAACCACTTAAATTTCCTCCTCTCATTGTTGTAGTTCCATAAACCACTGTTGTCTTTATTCAGCCACCCTATCACCACCTTCGGGTTCCCTTCAGTTATGAGTGTTTTGATACCCATCTCCTTCGCTTTCTAGACCCCTTCCATAGCTGCCAATTTCTCAGCTCTAAGGGAGTCACCCACTCCAATTGGGCCTGAGAACAGGGCAGAAATGATCCCATTTTCATCCCTAAAAACACCCCAATCTCTGATTGTCTAGGTTTCCCCCTACTACTCCCATCAAAGTTTAATTTTAAGAAACCAGCAGGTGGGGGGGGGGTCCAAGACACACTCATTATTGATTTGGTTTGTGTACAGTTTGCAATCTCACCCCACTTCCTCAACATTTCATCCACTGTGTAATCTGTGAATAGCTCTAAAGATTTCAGCCACTGTACAACCCTTATATGGATTATAGCCCTCAATTCTTCAACTCCTCTCTCAATTTATGAGAAGATCCTAGAATTTCTTTCTTCCTATAATGACCAGCATACTGCAGCCCTCAGTCCTTTCCACATAGTCCTTCCCCTTTTCATATGCCACGTAAAAAAAGAAGGGGAGAAAAGACTCTGCAAGTCTGGTGGAGGGTTCCAGGTACACCCAAAGAGAGAAAAAGCCCACTCCCAAATTGACTTTGCAAATTGGCAAGACACCAGTAAGTGAAAACCAGTCTCTCCATCCGCTTTGCAAAGAACACACCAATGAAGTGACAAGCAAGTATTGGGTCTCTTCTTTTGGAGCAGATCACCAGTGTTGAATCTTTCCAGATAGGTTTTCCAACAAAAACTACCAACCCTAGGAGGAATTGGTCTGCACCAAACTTGAGGAATTGGTCTCCTCATTTGTCAAGTTATAAGATTTTATTCTTGATGAATTTACCTTTTACCATAAAATTGGTATATAGTGCAAATAAACCATTTTATCCTTTTTACGAGACTGCCACATTGCCAACACTTGGTGCTTTGCTCAACACTTATACCATCTCAATGATGCTCCAAGTTGAATTAAGCAATGACTGTTATGGTCCCGCGCGTAGGATCTCGTCACGGGTCGGTCCACGGTGCGAATGCCCTGCCTTCCCTTGCGTCTTCCCTTGCATGCAGACCCTATTGCGGGACTGAATGGGTGATTTGTCCAAGAGACCACCCGAACTCTCCCTTGGGGTGATTTGTCCAAGAGACCACCCGAACTCTCCTCACTATTTTCTTGGCTGGAAAAACTCAATCCTTTATTTCAATTCGTAGCTCCTTAAATAGGAGATTACAGAAGGGAATTCCTAATTAAACTCAAACTCCAATTTGAACTCAAACTCCTAATGGTAACTCACTCTTACTTAAGATAAAGATAAAGATAAGATTAGAAAGGGATAAGGGATAAGATAAGGATAAGGTAGGTTGGCGGCAAGCTGGCTTGACGTGTCCAGATAAGGGTGGTCCCACCCCTATGAGCTGTCGTGTGGGCCCTGCTCTGCTGCTGCTGCCGGGTGCATGCGCGTGGCTCATGGTGCCGCTGCTGCGCGGTGCGTGCGCGCGGCTCATGGTGCCGCTGCTGCCTGGCGGTGCGTGCTGCGCGCCATGGTGCCGCTGCTGCCTGGCAGTGCGTGCTGCGCGCCATGGTGCCGCTGCTGTGCGGTGCCGGGTGGGTGCGCGGTGCGTGCGGTNCTGCCGTGCGGTGCCGGGCATATGTGCGTTGCGTGCTGCGCGCCATGGTGCCGCTGCTGTGCGGTGCCGGGTGGGTGCGCGGTGCGTGCGGTGCGCACTGCTGCCTGGCGGTGCGTGTTGCGCGCTATTGGTGCGTGTTGCTGTGTGGCGCTGCCAGGCGGTGCCTGCTGCTGTGCGGCCTGCCGTGCGTGCTGCTGCCTATGACTTCTCCGCAGTGCGCTGCCGGATGGTGTGCCCATAACAATGACTTTGACAGTTAGCATTCAACAAGATATCACATGAAAAGGCATGTGTAATAAGGAGTCTATGCTTCAATTTTCTGATTTAAAATGTATTGTTAAATTATTTATGTAACTAAATATTGTTAATTGCTATATCCGTGTGAATGTTTTTTGGAAATTGACTTGATGGGATACCTACAAACACTTCAATGCTTGGTACTTATCCCACATACCAAAGCAATTGTTTATCACTATTATTAAAAAATGAGAGAGGAGAGAAAGCAACTTTAAAGAGACAATCATAAACCAAAAAATATAGCCGGCTCTAAAAACACAAACTTACCTAGGGTTTGGCCCTGATATGAGCCTGTTTGTAGTGCGAAGAGTGAGTAGTTGTTAGTTTCTGTTTGTGATGTGCAGCTTCTCCAATGAAAAATATAGTCAACGTGATTTTCCAAAAATAAACTCTGGGCAAAATTTTGTGAAAACTTGAGCTGATCTGCCAGATGTCAAGTGTTAACATTCCTGAAGTTGTCTATTGTTTCTGCTGCGAAATCTTAAATGACTATTATTGAGGTTACATGCTTTAAGAACATAGTATGATGTAACATACCTGTAATTATTTGCTAAAGTCCTGTATGTTTTCTGGCTGTTCATGGATACATCTTTTTGAATAACTTGGCAAAAAGTTCTATTCATGTGGATCATTTGGTAGGTGCAAAGCGTCTTCTTCCAGTTGGTCTTGGTGATGATGATCAGTGCATTGAGGATGATTTTACTGCATGGTATGCCTTATAGTTGTAGCAAATTGTAACATAATCCTGGAGAATATTGTGAGCCCTAGATGGGAGCATCATTGATAACATCATTATAGATTATTGGCATTAATCATATAGTTTTTATTCCAGGCGAGAGTTGTTGTGGCCAGAATTGGATCAATTACTCCGTAATGAGGATGATGCTAATACAGTATCTACTCCATATACTGCAACTATTCCTGAATATCGGGTTGTTATTCATGATCCCACTGTTACAGCCTGGGAGGACAAATACTTGAGCATGGCAAATGGGAATGCTATCTTTGATATTCATCATCCTTGCAGGTACTTCTGAACACATGCATGTTGTATTTCCCCACCCCAACCCCTGAAAAATGTTCATCTTTTATAATTGACTGAAATCATTTTCTTTGGACACATAAAGAGCCAACGCATATGTTCAAAGAGAGCTTCACAAACCGGACTCTGACCGCTCTTGCATACATCTGGAGTTTGACATATCAGGCACTTGTCTTACGTGAGTTCATTCCTAATTTTTCCATTCCCTTTGAAGTTCAGATTGATTAGTCATTATTATGGCAATTTTGTAGTACTAATTGTATCTTCCCTTTGACAACAAGTGAAAAAGTACTTTTACTAAGCAAATATGTGAAGAAAACAAGGATTATTACGAGGCATAGAGCTTTTTGTCTACTACATTTTATATTATTTATAATAAAACCATGGAGTTTAAAACTTCAAATGAGCTCTGAGATGTCATTTTTTGTTAGCAAAATCTAGTTTGTTCATCTGTATTTCCATTTTCTTTGTCCTGTGTCTTCAGTTGCCATTCATTTGGTTCATCACCATTGGTTCAGTTAAACTACATTTTTTTTTTCCAAACTTCAGATTAGAACACTCTAATTTGAAATTCGGTTTTGTTGCTCTTATTAGATATGAAACTGGAGACCATGTTGGTGTTTATGCTGAGAATTGTGATGAAACCATTGAAGAAGCAGGGAACTTATTGGCTCAACCCTTGGATTTACTGTTTTCAATTCACACCGACAGAGAAGATGGCACTTCACTGCCAAGCTCATTGCCTCCTCCCTTCCCTGGGCCATGTACCTTGCGCAATGCACTAGCACGCTATGCTGATCTCTTGAATCCTCCTAGAAAGGTTGTTTATCAAGTCCTGATCCTTGTATTTTTTTCTTTTATCTTCACTGTTCACATTATTCTTGAATTTTTAGTTGCTATTCTTGAATATTAAACTATTTGGTTCTATACATTGAACTTTCAGGCCAGTCTGGTTGCTTTGGCTGCTCATGCATCTGAACCCAGTGAATCAGAAAAACTAAGATTTTTAGCATCACCTGAGGGGAAGGTTCAAAATTTACTTCATTTTTTTGTTTCTTGTAGTCCAAATAATTTGTTATGCTTGTTTACTTGTTTTCATTGCTTAGTGCATTTCTGTGTGCCTTTGCATTGTTTATTTAATTTCCTTTATGTTCTTATATTCAGGATGAGTATTCACAGTGGGTTGTTGGGAGTCAGAGGAGTCTACTGGAAGTAATGGCTGAATTCCCATCAGCAAAACCTCCCCTGGGTGTATTTTTTGCCGCAATATCCCCTCGTTTACAACCACGATACTATTCAATTTCATCCTCTCCAAGGTGATTTGCTTTTCCTAAATGTAATAACCCGAAGCACTTTTATCATTATGTGGGGATTTTTTTCAGTGAAGTTTGTTGTCTTCTGTATTTTGCGTAGATTGGCACCTTCTAGAATTCATGTGACATGTGCTGTGGTTTATGGTCCAAGCCCCACTGGGAGGATTCATAAGGGAGTGTGTTCAACATGGATGAAGGTAGGAGTTGACCATTTACATGCTACGGAATTATCTTTCTTCTTTTTATATTGAATGTAATAGTTATTTTTGCAGAAGTTCTTGTAAGGCCCTGCATAGTAGTTATTTTAAAAAGGAAGTTTATGGTACACCAAGCTATCAAAAAAAGTTTCTTATACACTTGTATTGAATATAACAGTCTGCAGTTCCTTTAGAGAAAAGTCATGATTGTAGCTGGGCTCCTATTTTTGTTAGACCATCAAATTTTAAGTTACCGGCTGACCCTTCAGTACCATTTATCATGGTGGGACCTGGTACTGGCTTAGCACCTTTCAGAGGATTTTTACAGGTCAGGAAGGAGTTATCTGGTTTATCTAGTTTTCTTGTTATTTCATGAGAACAGCATATATAATCCACATAGTTACTTTTCAGGAAAGACTAGCCCTGAAAGAAAATGGTGTCCAACTTGGTCCTGCTCTCCTCTTTTTCGGATGTAGGAACCGCAGAATGGTAATTGTTCATCAGTCATTATTTTATATGAAATCTAGTTTTATAGTCTCTCTCTTTTATCCCTTTTTCTGGCCATAATATTCTCTTTGTTTGTAGGATTTTATTTATGAGGATGAACTTAATAGCTTTGTGGAACAAGGAGTGTTGTCTGAGTTGATTGTTGCCTTTTCACGTGAAGGGCCAAATAAGCAATATGTTCAACATAAGATGATGGACAAAGTAAGTTGATGGTAAATATATAATAGCTTGCAGTGCTCTTTGGCTGCTCTACCAATTGTATAATGCATGCTCTGCTTGCAGGCAGCAGACATATGGAATATAATATCCAAGAATGGATATCTCTATGTATGTGGAGATGCAAAGGGAATGGCTAGAGATGTCCACCGGACTTTGCATACCATTGTTCAAGAGCAGGTATGAAGTACTATTCTCATGGTTACTATCTTGCCCTTTCTAGTGGGACAGACACATATACATGAAAATAATTCCAAATGCATATAAGTTGGTGCTATTTGATGGAATAGCGTTTCTGGAAAGAGTATTCTTGTTTGGCCAGCATTTGTAACTACTCTTCTTTAGGCTAACTGTTCTCATTGAAAAAAAAAACTTCGAAAAAGTTCTTCTTTAGGCTTTTATGAAAAGATGATCCAACATTTGTAACTGCTTTTTCTTTTTTATTTCCACCCCTTTCCCGATCTAATTGGGACTTACCTGATGTAAATGCAGTGGGAATGCTTGGATCATGATTAAGCTGCTACTTGTTCTCATTGAAATTTTGTGGTCCAAACCATGTTTAAACTAGCATGTAGCATCTACAACTTTTGCCCCCAGCCATTTTGAGACTTGACTGATTTAAAAGCCACGGGGACCGCTTAGAAGTTAGAACATGGTTTAAGTGACTACTTGTTCTCATCGAAAATTTTCTGCCCATATCATGTTTAAAATTTCCATCTTGTTGGTTCCTTGAAGGCTAATTCTGTACCAAGAGTACAACTTCTCTTTTGTCTTTTCAGAAAGGATGATCTAACATCTGCAACATGGAACATGCCGAACCTGAACTGGAATATTTCTAGATGCATGACATATTCACCTTTTACTGCCATTGATTTAATCGATTGTTTTTCCATTTCTTGTTGCATAAATAACCTGCTTAGATTGGGGACGCAGGACCTATAATTTGTCATCTGTCCTATATCAGGATGACCAGGACTCTGAAAGGAAGATATCTGATCATGCTGACCTTTTGTTTTGGGCCCTTCTTAGTTGGGGTTCATCCAATGATGGGTCCTGATCTTCTGAATATCTGCTATGTGGTATGTTATGAAGCCCAGACCACAACTTGCTGTCCTGTATCTCCTGACCCTAGCAAACCCCATTATTTATTAGCTTTTGGATTCTACATGTTCAACTCTGTTTGTGCTGATGAAGAAATCCAGTTCCAGTCTGGATAGGCTTTGATGTTTATGAACTTTTTCATATTGGCAGTTATATCCACTCACTAGGGTTGGTTTATGCCTTATTCTTATCTTATAATCAACCCCTATAAAAGAACAAACAAGATTGATCTACATTACCCATGTAAACTTGGATTCCATTTCAGGGAAGTATGGATTCATCCAAGGCTGAAGCTACAGTGAAGAAACTTCAGATGGATGGACGGTATCTAAGGGATGTCTGGTGATTTTTTTGGTATTATTATTTCTTTAAATAGCTGCCTGCTGTAATGGAGGTGAGCTGTTAATCATCTTCGTCAGAATGTGTTTGTAAGCCTCACTGCCTACACAAGTTCTTTAGCAGATGTGCTGATTGCAGAAACAGAAATTTGGTTTACTGGAGAAGAACAAACAAGTATCTGCCAATGATATATGCACTTGGCGTTTCTGTGCTCTTTTCAGATGCGAAAGGTCATGTTTGCAGTCAATGTACTTTATTATCTCAGTTCGTATGAGAAAGCGTCTGAGGTAACAAAAGATGTTAAACCGACTTTAGGTCTCACAGGTAGTTGCCAGCTGACTGCTGAGGCTTAGATCTCAGCCTGCTGTTGACATTATACAGGGTAGTTTTGTAAGAATAGTTAGTTTTGTAAGAATAGTAATGTTTGTACTGTGTTGTTAGGTACAAGGTATGGAATAAAGATGATTGCTGGAATGATTCTGTTGATACTCTCAGAATTCTTTCTGCCATTCTTTGGTGGTTTCAGGTTTCAACAATTGTGCTTTCTGAGATAAAAAATCCCTTGCCTTTGAAGCCTTCTTTCTGCTCTAGACTAAAGTCATATGGTTTTTAGATTTTAGGAGGCATTCTTTTTTTGGATCTTGAGAGGGGCAAAGTTGATCAATGGGATTTTGGTTCCCATTGACCAAGAAATCCATGTTATTTTTTCAGATTTATGTGAGGACTATGGAAACTTCATTTTTCTGATACCCATATTCTAGGTGGGTAAAGAATTTTACTTTCCCACCTAGGGGAAAAGTTGGCAACACTTGAATGAGACAAAAATGTCCCTTTCAATAATAGATTTTTATGGCTAAAATGATCATTTCCTTGTTTACTTGGGAAATAAAATAACATTGGTAAATGCACCCGAGCAAGTAATTGAAAAGCGAATGGGGCCTTTGAAATAAGGGATGGCTCAGCTGATAATTTTATTGGCCAGTGTTCCTTGCGTATTGTCTTTCTAGCCCCCGTTGAATTTACAAAAAATGGAGTTTGTTTATGCTTTCCAACTTCTGAGGGAGGAGAGCTGGAAAACATGCTATTGGTAAATCCATTTCTGTCTGAGTATGATTTTCAAGAGTAATAGCATCTAGGAACGAATCTAGGTACATGTTTTCATGTTTTGTGTTAGAGTATATCTATCTATATGTATCAAGATGGTTCATGTATATATATCAAGATAGTCCACATCAGCATGCTTCTCCTTGCTCCATTGCCCCAATGTGTATAATCCTTGACTCTCTCTCCTCTCCCCTTCCCACCACTCCCTTTAAGCCATGTCATCATTCTCAATCCAACCCAACTACCTAAAAATATTCCTAAATCTCTCTCCTAAGATATCTCCTCCAAGTCATTATGAATGTATTATGTTACCCCACTTCCCAATAAATTCCTGAAATCTCTCCCCCAATCTATATCCACTCTCTTATTTAAAATATCCATATTAATTAATAAATAGTTAAATACAATTAATATTTAATCAAACCCATATATTTTTTTTTATCAATAACAAGAAACTTTATTAAAGATGTGAAACTATGTTAAGCTTAGGCACAAAGGGGAGGTAAAAAGACTTAATTCCCCATCAAAGAGTACAAGGAAAAAATCAAAAAATAGCCAAAAAAATCGAATCCCTTATTCACACCCCTTGCTTTGCTAACTCATCATTAAAGGAATTAGTAGTCCTCTTCACCCACTTGTAATGAACCAACATATCCCTATAAAGCCATTTAAATTTATTCTCATTGTTATAACTCCATAAGCCGTCGTTTCCCCCTTTTAGCCACCTAATCACCACCTCCGAGTCACCTTCAAGGACCAAACATCTGATAATCAGCTCCCTTGCTCTTTGGATGCCTTTTAGGGCTGCGAGGATTTCAACCCTAAGAGAGTCTCCTCCAATTGGGCTTGAAAACATAGCGATAATAGCCTCCACCTCATTCCTAAATACTCCCCCAATCCCAGAAGGCCCTGGGTTCCTTAAACAACTGCCATCAAAATTTAGTTTTATGAACCCAAAAGGAGGAGGAGACCACAAAGGACTACAACTCCTCTTATAAAGGGCAGAGGAAGCTATCTCCTTCCAATTTCTCACCAAATCATGTGCCACCCTTAACATAATTAGATCTAATAAGTTTCTAATGGTTCTTTCCTTATCTGAAAATATTCATAAGTTTCTTTCTTCCCATAGAGTCCAATACATTGCAGTCCTGATGCTTCTCCACATAGTCTTCCATTTCTTCTTTGGTCATCTGAAAAAGGAGGGAGAGAACAAGCTTTGGACACTCCTAGGGAGTATCCAAACACACCCAAAAAGGGAAAAGACCCACTCCCAAACTAATTTAGCAACCGAACAAGTAACCATAAGGTGGTAATCAATTTTCCCATCAGCTTTACAGATACTGCATCTATTAAGAAGTAAAGAAGAGTTGGGTCTCTTCTTCTGAAGTAGGTTATTTGTGTTAATTCTTTTCAGAAAAATTTCCTAGCAAAAACTACCAACCCGAGGAGGAATGAGTTTACTCCAAATTTCTTTAACCGGGAAAGACAATACAATGGGATCAGAAGGCTGAGTTAAAGTCTCAAAAAATGAGGCACAAGAGAAAACACCTGAAGAGGAGGGAACCCAAAATCTGGTGTCCTCCTTATTGGATCCAAGAACACATTTTCAAGGATTGCTAACAAAGACAAAAGGTGGTCCAAGTCTGCATCCCTAATTGCCCTTTCCAGACCTAAGTTCCACCCACCCTGAAGGAGAGTTTGAGGGGCTTAATAAGGAAGAAATGAGTTCATTTTTCAAATCAGAAAGAGCAAAGAGGGAAATTGGTCCACCAGAGGTGAATCCCCGACCCAAAGTTGTTCTCAAAATTTTATTTTATTTTCGGAGTTAAGACCATACCTGATACAAGGGAAAAAAACTAGAAGCAAATTGTGTATGGCTGACTAAGGAAAGGCGGCTGTAGTCCTTGCCAAGATTCCAGGTTCCCAACCATTGTTTTCCAACCCATGTATGCTAGTCACAATCTTTGTCCACAACTTGTCTCTTTCCAACGGAAATCTCCATAACAATTTCCCTAACAAAGCCCTGTTCCTCTTCCTAACATTCTCAATCCCTAGATCTCCTAGATTTTTACCTCTAGTAACCACCTCCCAACTCACCATATGGTCCTGCTTCTCCTCTCCAGGCTTCCACAAGAAATCCCTCATAAGCTTTTCCAAAGTGTTAGAGACCTTTGTGGGGATCTTAAACACTGATAGGAAATACATAGGAAGATTAGCTAGGGTTGATCTAATCAAAGTGATTCTCCCCCTCATGGAAAAATAAATTTTCCTTAAAGAAGCAAGCCTTTTCCCAAATCTCTCTACTATCGGGTTCCAAAAGCTAACCTTTTTAGGGTTATCCCCCAAGGGAAGGCCTAGGTAAGCCATCGGCCAATCCGAGATTGCACACCTTAACACATCTGCGTACTCTCTAAGCTCCCTCTCCTCCAAATTCACACCCGCCAAACTACTCTTATCCAAATTCATCTTGAGATTAGATACCCGCTCAAAGAGTTGTATTGCCAATTTTAGGTTCCAGATGAGTAAGAGGTATCTCCTCCCTTCCTACTCTCCATCCTTTTATTAAATTCCTTGAATCCGCTCTCTGAATCAATCTCACAATAACATTAGCAATCAAAGTGAAGAGGAAAGGGGATAGTGGATTACCTTGTCTTATTCCTCTCGAGGCGGGGAAGAAATCCACCACAGTTCCATTCAGCAAGATAGAGTAGTGGCAGATTCTAATACAACCCCAAATCCACTTACACTAACTGTCTCCAAAGCCAAAACTTTTCAACACCTCCAACAAAAAAGACCAATCAACAATGTCATAAGCCTTCTCTAAATCCAATTTACACACCACTCTCTTTTTCTTAGACCTCTTAAAGCTCTCCAGACTCTCATTAGCAATCAAGATTTGATCAATAATTTGTCTTTCCATCACAAAAGCACATTGGTTAGGTGCAATTATGGAAGGAAGAACCTTCTTTAATCATAGAGACAACACTTTTGTGATTATCTTGTACAAATTGTTCACCAAATTAATAGGTTTAAAGTCTCTTGGTTGTGATGCCTCTTTCTTCTTAGGAACCAGAGCAATGAAAGTGGAGTTCAAGCCCGGGTTGATTATTCCCCTTCTGTGAAACTCTTAAAAAACTGACCCAATATCTTTCTCTATAATACTTCAACAATCTTGATAAAAAGCCATTGTGAATCCGTTCGGACCTGAAGCTTTTGTTCTATCCATTGAAAATGCTGATTCCTTTATCTCCTCCAATTCAAATCTCCTTTCTAACCATTCTCTTTTTTTTTTTTTTTTGGACTTAGAATCGGCCAATCCAAACCCTCCAACCAAATCCTTTCATTTAAACGTCTTCTAAAAATAGATTTGAAGTGGCTAACGAAGGCTTCTGCTATTTCTATCGGGTGGGAAATGACTGTTCCTTCAACTTCCAATTTTGAAGTGAAATTCTTCTTTTTTCTACCATTTGCCACTGAGTGAAAGAACCCGATGTTTTTATCCCCTTCCTTAATCAACAGATCCTCCAATCGCTTCCTTAATCTCCATCTCCTTTCTCTATCTTCTTCTCCAACAAGACCCCTTTCTTCCTTCATATCCAACTCTTCTATCTGCTCTACCAACACTTGTTTCATTTTCTCTACTCTCCCAAATTCTAACCTGTTCCACTCCTTTATTTGGGATTTTAAGAACTGAAGTTTTTTATGAAACCTCATTCATTCCCACTGTATTGGTGGATTATAATGCTGCCACCATTCCTTGACTTTCTCAATGAATCCTAGGTGGATCAACCACATGTTTTCAAACCTAAACGGGGCAGGACCATTGCCTCTCAATTCCTCCTTATACATTTCAATAGGCCAGTGGCCTGAGGTAAGCATTGGAAGCACCCTAGATGTTAAGTTACCCCAATGTTCCCCCCAATCTGTTGAAAAGAGAAACCTGTTCAGCTTAGATCAAATTGGGCTTGATTGGAGGTTGGAGCAGATAAGGTATTGTTAAGCATTTGAAGTTCTTTGAGCTCAAGCGTATCCACAAACTGATTGAAGCTCCTCATACTTGTTGTCACTCTCTGTCTAGGGTTGTTGGTTTCTTCTATGAATCTCACTACATTAAAATCTCCTCCTAAACACCACGGTCATTCCCAAAGGCCCCTAATATCACTCAACTCTTCCCATAGTTTCTTTCTCTGCCTATAGTCATTGGGGCCATAAACATTTGTTAGTACCCATTTGAAACCATCTTCCACCTGCTTGAACTTCAAAGAAACAGAATGATCACCTATCAACTCCTCCAATCTTATAAGCACGTCTTCTTTCCACAAGGTTACAATACAACCTAAGGATCCCCACGACGGAGCAGCCACCCACTTAATCCCCTTAGCTCTCCAGACTTCTTGCCCATTTACAATCAAAATCCATTCTTTTGGATTCTTGAAGTAATACTACATCCAGATTGAACTTCTTAATCATATCTTTGATTGTTGTTCTCTTTCTAGCACTACCTAGCCCCCTCACATTCCAACTTAGGATTCTCACTATAATTTTGCAAGAATCTGCCCTATCACCACCAAAATCTATTTGAGCCCTTTCCTTCTGTCCCCTCTGGCCCCAAACTTCTTATCCCCCTCAATATCTCTTTTTAATCTCTCAACCTTGCTCAATTTTCTTTTCTTGACCTTTCCATCCTCATTTTTTTTGTAGAAATGCTTTTAAATCATTTGGGTTTTTCAGTTTACACCCCAGCTTTCTCACAAATTCTGTCACTGAATCTTCCCTACAAATCTCCTTTTTTGTCTAGCTTTCCAAGTTCTCCTCATTCCTTTTCCCTTTCACTCCACTAGGCACTCTTTTTGTCCCATTTATACCCTCCTTTTGCAGTTCATTCCTCTCCACTTCACCCATTATCCTCTCAATTATCCCCCATATCCTTTTATCCGTACCATGCATTCCCACTACTGTCTCCCCCTCCTCCCCTTGTAATCTCATTGTGGCTTCCCGTCCATGGGCCTTGAAAAGGAATCTAGAATAATGGACACAGAATACTCATCGGTAACAAAAACTGAATTGACAGAGTTGTCAGATTTACCTAGTTTCAACTGAGGGTTGTAGGAAAGGGGCAGAGGAGGGTGGATGGTTTTCAAACCCTGTAAAGAACAACTGGAGCTTTCTGTCTCATCGGGTTGGAGGGAAATATTCCCCATCACATGGTTTACACAAATGCCTTTTTCTTTACCCGGTTGTTCACCTCTCTGTGATGTACCCTTGTTCAGATCTGGGTTAGCGTAATCAAACACCTTAATGGCTATTTGCAAGGGGCTAAACCTTGGTAAAGGCTTGTTCGAAATTGAGCTTTGGTCTACACTGTTTAAGTTTACCGGAGTCTCCAAATCTGTCTTTTGTACGCCCATCGGATTTTCAAGAAAGATCTGCTCTAGATTTAACTCCTCTCTGATCTGTCCAGCCTGGGGACCTTCTTCTGCCTAGCCATCGAAACTTGCACAGTCTTCTGAACTCCCCCTCTTCATCACTCTCCGTGGCGCAACTTATCCATCCTTTGTCTTCTTCCTCTATCTCTTCTAATTTACCCCTACAGTAACGTGGGTTTGGGCGATCATCAACACTGGAAATCTGCTCGCCACAGTCCGGGCGAATGTTCCAGCTTAGGGGACGCTTTCCTCCACCTGTTCGCGTTTTCTGATAGCCATGAGAATCACACTGATCAGCCTCCTCTTTTCTGGAAGAAGATTGGCGGACATTTCCGTCTACAAACATTTTAAGTCATCACGTGGCCCACTAACGGTGGTGAATGGACCAAAAATTGGTTCGGCCATTCTAACATCCGGTTCAGAAGTGGTGACCCTGTTAAGACGCACCGAGTTGCAAACTCTTTTGGCCACATCAGCATAGGAATGGCCACCTAAAACTCTTGAATTTAATTAAAAAAAAATTGAATTAATTGATTTTAAAGGAAGGCTTGGAGAGGTGGAAAAACCCTGTGACTGTTCATTTTCTCCGTTTACTCTATCACGCGTAGCAGGTTGCTTCTCTAATCCTTGGGTGCCATGTGTGCTCCAGCCAACTGCCACACCATCATCCCCTACCTCTGGTCGTCTCTCCCAAAGAGATGCCTCAACTTCCGTCGCCAGCCAAACCTTATACCAGGCTCCCTCTGAAAGAATTTCGAGAGCACGAGGCAAGTTCTCAGGCTTCAGCCCTGCAATTCTAATCTCCGCTGCACGCAAACTTCTCAACTTCAGCTCTAGAAGGACACCCCCTAGGGCTCTAACGATTCCTCCTAAGGTCTGTTCATTCCAAAGATTAAAAGGTAGTATGAGGAGTTTGATCCAGAAGTTGCAGTCCTTTAGCACAACTTCGTTGCATAACGGAACCCAGTTTTGTATTTGTATCAGTCCTCCATCTACTTGGACTGTATTGAAACTCAGTTTTTCATCACCTGTATCGAGGATGGCTTTCTTCTCATCAAAAGGCAGAACTACTGCATCACCTTCTAAGCCCAGCATTTTAGCAACTGCGTCTAAAACTTTCGTCCAATCCCTTGCAGCCCTATCAGCATTAACACCATTATGTGTTCCCATTTGCCTCTCCCTTCTTCAAGTGCCAACTTTCGGATTCCAAATGAACTTGCTATCATAGTCCGAATGAACTTGTTGGGTATTAAATGGTGTTATTAACAAAAGCTAATAAATGCGGTTGGTAAATTATCAAAAATTAATAAATATTATTATTAATTAATTCATCATTTACTTTTTAAAGTATTTTGGATAATTACTGCTATATTCATGCTAATAACATTTTATAGAAATTGAAACCTCTTTAAATAATTTCTATAAAATAGAGAATTATATTTAGCAATTATCAAAATTATAAAATTTTAGTTATTGCTATTATTATAGTTAATAACCAAATGCAGATGAGGGAATAAAATATTATACGTTGGAAAATGAAATTATTAATTAATTTAAATTGTAAAATAAAAGATAAATTAGTGTAATTTTGTTAGTAAATTACTTAATAAAAATAAATATTTAAAATATTTTTTAATAAATCTCCATAATTACACAAACGTAATACATTTTTCAAAAATTTTTGCAAAACTACATTTTTGTAAACTAACATTTTGGAAATTAAAAGATATAATATTGTACTTTTGGAAAAATTTTGAAAATTTATTTAAAATGTATTAAATAATTATTTGAATATTTTGGAAATTTTAGGAAAATTTATTACATTTGATAGATTTTGAGTAACTATTGAAAAATTATGTAATTTTTATTGTAAACTATTAAAGGTAAATGAGTGTGGAAAAGGGAAAATTGTAATTTGAACCAATAATTACACAAATTATTAAGATAAATTAGTATAACATTGGAAAAATGAAATTATTGATTAGTTTATATTAAAAAATATAAGTTTAATTAATGTAATTATGTAAGCAAAGCATTTGA